CCAGGGTTTTTGGTGGTTTTTCCAGAATGGGGAAGTTACCCATAGAAAAGTCTCAACTTCTCACTTACCACCAACATGCTCCAAACCCAAAAAATGGCAAAAGTGGCTAAAGTCCGAAACAGAACTCAGGAAGTGAGCACCCCATCCAGTCTCAGATGCCAAGTGGATTTCCATGGGAACAAAGGGCATCCCGTTTTTTGGTTGGTTTAGTTTAAAGGGGAACCCTTCCCAAAAAAAGTTGAAGACAGGGGGGCCACTGACCCACACTTTCCGCTTGGCTTTAACTTCCGGGTAACATGTGGAGTGTTCCTGCAGCGCTTGCCCGGGCATGGCGGCGGCTTTACAGGGAGAGTTGCTGAGGGGCGAGAGTGTGAAACATGCTCAAATGCTTCTAATTACATGGGACAGACGCCGCAAACAAATATAACTCAAATCCCTGTAAAAAGCAAAAAGCAACAGAAGCTGTTTATTTGGTTGAACAAATGAGCACTTGGTTCTCAATATGCGTGCGAGTTTGGCCAAACAACCTAAAGGAAACCAACCAACTAACTTGACGTTGATTTGTAGGCGCTGGCCCCTTGCTGCAATCGTGATGTGTGTGTGTGTGTTGCGCTGTTGTGTTGTTCTTGACATTGAGGCATTCACGTGTTGTTGAATGCGCCCGCGAAGATTCCGACCACGCCTTGTAAAACCAAGGTGTCCTTAACACGAAACCGCAAGCTGCACTTCCTTCAACTCATGCTGTGTGATCACACCAGCTGGAGGATTCAAACGGCGACGGGGTTGGAGCAGAAGATCTCAGGAGAATGACCGGTCTTGGCGAGTTCCTGCAAGGGATATCAGACACTCAACTCACTTCCTGAGTGCTGGTCCTTGTTTCCTACCGGCTGCCTAAGTGGGTTGGCCAGCAAGAACTCTAAACTTTGGCCACTGAAACGGTACTCCCAAAACGAAAAACGTCCCGAAACTTGGAAGGTGAGACTTGTCTCAAATAGTGGTGTGTTTTTAGGGGACCCCCCCCAATAAAAAAAAAAGAAAGAAAAATAGCGGCCTTCCAAAATGGTGGCTTCCCCAAAATGGAAGCAACCCTCTGGGTAACCCACTCGTCTGGACAAGGTTTGGTTTCCAGGATCCCTGTGCCAAACTTGGTTGCCACAGGCCCTGAGCAAAAGGTCAAGAAGACCTTTCGTATAGTTGTAATGGAAAAGCCATCATTTGTTGGCAAAAGTCTAAGGGGCACAAACACATGGCCTAAACCACGGTTCTTGCACAGCGCGTCATTCAACTGCCAAGCAAATTCTTGGAAACTAGAACTGCAGGAATTGAAATTGGCCAGACGCCAGACCGTTATTATTAAAACTAGAGGACGAGTGGCCCGGAAGCATAGAGGCAAGTTAGTTGTTAGCGATCAAGTAGTCTAGTCGCGACAAGCTGCACACAGACAGATTCCGCTTTTTGTCAGTAGCTCGAATATGGTACTAAAAGTTGAGGAATTTCATGCACTTCTCAGTGCAGGTTCTCCCTGCTCATCGCGATCTTGCCCACCATCATGTCGCGCGTGTAGATCGAGTGGCTCGGCATGTGGATCTCGATGATGCATACCATGCTTCGGGCGGCTCCAGCATGAACAAACAGGCAGCAAGCAAACTACCGCGATGTTGATTTTTTTGCCGCGCTAGCTTGAACCAACCACCAGGCGCGTGGTGCGGAAGGCGAGGCGGGGGAGAACCGTCAACAAAAACAAGCGCTTTTCCTCTGTTCGCGCGAACACTGTTAACAAGAAACAAGTGCTTTGGAAAACCATGACAAAAACATTCTTTCGAGCAAGCCCTCCTCTGTCCGCTTCGCGCGCTGAAAGACACGCTCCGGTATCTCAAGGCTTGTCGTGAACAAGTGCCAAAAGAGCTAAGCAAGAAAACTAAACTTGTGGGGTCTACTTGTAACTGCGAAACCATGCCTCTGCGTCAGGTCGCGAACGTAGAGCTGCAACCACGGCTTCAAGCAGCTGGCTCTTGGAAAGCCGACTACCAGATGCGGGATCCCTCTGCTGCACGCCGAGGCCAGCTGCGAAGGCACGAAGCTTGTCCAGCTTCATCGAGCCATCCAGCTCAGCATGGAGCCAGTCTTGACCATGTACTGCTGCTTCAGCCCGTAAATGCTCAGCATCAGGAAGAGCATCCAAGGGATTCGCAGCCTGCTGCGCGCGCTGAAAGACACACGGTGGAAACCAACAGCGCAAGCCAAAAGTGGTAATTCCAAGAAACCAAGAGGGGTATGCGAAACAATCGTGCGCTCTCGCATGCCAACGTCCAGCCTGCGCACGTCGCTGGCAACCAGAATCCGACATGGCAACACGACACGTCGGAAATACCCGCCAGCGCCGCGCGACTCTGATATCTTCTGGCCACCCGCTGTGTGTAACTGCTTTGACAAGATTGGTGCGCCAAGGAAACGAATCCGCACTTCGGAAGATGCGATCTGAGCGATGACACCTTCTACAGTACTAACACGGAGGACTGCCTTGAGCATGAATGCACGTGCAAGCAGCAATGACAAGCGACAGCAACCTCATGGAGCACCCCTCCAAAAAATGAAGCATAACACCAACACAAAGAAGCCGTGTCGCCCTAATCAACTGTCGCCGCAAACATTCTCTGGGCAAGCTCCGCTACTGAGACACTCATGACATCCAAGCTTCGGCTACTATTGCTCTTGTCAGCTGCCTATCACTCCAAAATCCAACTGCGCATGTTTATTTTACAAGCCAATTACAAAAGCCAACTGCCCAATCTCACTTCACAAGCCAATGACAACTGCCAACTGCCCAATCTCACTTCACAAGCGAAATGCACTGTCCCAAAACACAAGCCAAATTTTCGAGTGTTACTTCACTATCCTAAAGCGCAAGCTAACTTCTCGGGCGTTTCTTCGGCATCGTAAAGCGCAAGTATTCGTTTTCAGGCGTTACATTGCAAGCCGACTTTTCCTTTTCTACCTTCTCTTCTCGATTCTGAGTTCTTTCTTCTTTTTCCGGCGGAGCTGGGGAGACGCTCTCCGCGCCGAGATAGGTCCGCAAGTGCTTTGTGCAAGTGCTCTGTGCAAGTTGCTCTGCGCAAGTTGCTCTGCGCAAGTTGCTCTGAGCAAGTGCTGCCGGAGCTGTGGGAATGTACTTCGCGTACTATTTTTTTGTACTTAAAAGTTGTGATTTTCCAGCCGGAGCTGCGGGAGTGTGCTCCGCGTACTACGTTTGTACTTAAAAGTTGCGATTTTCCAGCCGGAGCTGCGGGAATGTGCTCCGCGTACTATGTTTGTACTTAAAAGTTGCGATTTTCCAGCCGGAGCTGCGGGAGCACGCTCCGCATACTACGTCTGTACTTAAAAGTTGCGATTTGCCAGCCGGAGCTGCAGGAGCACGCTCCGCGTACTACGTCTGTACTTAAAAGTTGCGATTTGCCAGCCGGAGCTGCAGGAGCACGCTCCGCGTACTACGTTTGTACTTAAAAGCTGCGATTTTCAAGCCGGAGCTGCCGCGGACCAGGGGGGAATCGAACCCGAGACCGCGGGATTGCGAAAGCAGGCGCGCAAACCACGAGACAACTTCCAAAGGCCGTTTCGCGAGCAAGAAAATCGCACGGCGCCACAGCGAGAGCGCTTCGACACGCACGATCTCCGCAGAGGGTTCATCGGTCAAGAAACAGATGCGCACGGCGCCACAGCGAGAGCGATCCGACACGCACGATCTCCGCAGAGGGTCGCCGCGACCAAGACAAATTCGCACGGCGCCACAGCGAGAGCGCTTCGACGCGCAGGATCTCCGCAGAGGGTTCGCCAAGGTCAAGACAAATTCGCACGGCGCCACAGCGAGAGCGCTTCGACACGCAGGTTCTCGCAGAGGGTTCGCGCGACCAAGACAGAATTCGCGCGGCGCCACAGCGAGAGCGCTTCGACACGCACGATCTCCGCAGAGGTTTCGCCGCGCTCAAGACAAGCACGGCGCCACAGCGAGAGCGCTTCGACACGCACGATCTCCGCGAGGGTTCGCAAGGTCAAGACAAATTCGCAGGCGCCACAGCGAGAGCGCTTCGACACGCACGATCTCCGCAGAGGGTTCGCCGCGCTCAAGACAAATTCGCACGGCGCCGCAGCGAGAGCGCTTCGACACGCACGATCTCCGCAGAGGGTTCATCGGGCTCAAGACAAATTCGCACGGGGCCACAGCGAGAGCGCTTCGACACGCACGATCTCCGCAGAGGGGTGCGTTTCGTAAGCTCCCGTCGGGCCTACCCCCGCCATAAAAAAGAAGAAGAATTAAGAGTCGAGATGTGAAGGTAGAACAGAAAAGTTAGCTTGTGTTTTTAGGATAGTGAAGTAACACCCGACAAATTAGCTTGTGCTTTTAGTAGAATGAGATAACAGCCGAAAAGTTGACATGAGAAGTTGGCAGGTGAAGTAACTCTCAAAAAGTTGACATGAGAAGTAGGCAGGTGAAGTAACTCTCGACAAGTTGGCATGAGAAGTTGGCAGGTGAAGTAACTCTCGACAAGTTGGCATGAGAAGTTGGCAGGTGAAGTAACTCTCGACAAGTTGGCATGAGAAGTTGGCAGGTGAAGTTGGCAGCCGCTTTTAGAAGAAGAACCCTTCACAATGCTTCCGGGAAAAACAAAAAATGATTTCAACCGCAGAGCTTGGGCTAATTGTCTTGGACAAGTCTTTCCAACTCTTGATATGGTAGCAAGCAATTTGCTTGCTGCAGCCCGCCCACCCCCCCTCCCCCCCCTAAAAAAAAGGAAGAAAAAACACCATAACACACACACACACACACACCCAAACAAAAACCGGACCCCCCACCCCACCCCCCAAAAAATAATACAAACAACACAATAACAATGATGACACCAATAATAATAATAATAATAATAGCAACACATCACAAGAGCACGACCTGAGTGAAGACATGGGCCCTGTGGCGCTCGAAACCGCTGGGCCGCTGGGCCGCGGACCCGGCCCTGGATTCTGGAGATCAGCGACTGCACCTGATCCTGGTCGCCTCCAATGCGGGTGGGCGGGGGGGCCGGAGAAGCGGGGGGCCTGAAGAAACAGGGTGGGGCTGAGGGTGGGTGGTGGGTGGCTGGGGGGTGGGTGGGGGGTGGGTGGTGGGTGGGTGGTGGGTGGCTAGGGGGTGGGTGGGGGGTGGGTGGTGGGTGGGTGGTGGGTGGCTGGGGGGTGGGTGGGGGGTGGGTGGTGGGTGGGTGGTGGGTGGCTGGGGGGTGGGTGGGGGGTGGCTGGGGTGGGTGGGGGGTGGGTGGTGGGTGTGGGTGGCTGGGGGGTGGGTGGGGGTGGTTGTGGGTGGTGGGGGGTGGGTGGGGTGGGTGGTGGTGGGTGCTGGGGGGTGGTGGGGGGTGGGTGGTGTTGGGTGGTGGGTGCTGGGGTGGGTGGGGGGGGGTGGTGGTGGTGTTGGTTGGTGGGGGTGGTGGGGGTGGGTGGGGGTGGGCTGGAGGGTGGTGTGGTGGTGGGGGTGGGTGGGGTGGGCTGGGTGGTGGTGGGTGGGGGGGGGTGGGGGGTGGTGGTGGGTGGGTGGGGGGGGGGGGTGGTGGGGGGTGGGGTGTGGGTGGGGTGGTGGTGGGGGGTGGGCTGGGGGTGGGTGGTGGGAGTGGTGGGGGTGCTGGGGGTGGGTGGGGTGGGAGTGGTGGGTTGGGTGGTGGTGGGTGTCCTGGGGGTGGGTGGGGGTGTGGGGCTGAGGGTGTGTGGTGGTGGTGGGGGGTGGGTGGGGGTGGGGGTTGGAGGGTGGCTGGGGGTGGTGGGGGGGGGGGTGGGTGGTGGTGCTGGGTGGTGGGGTGGTGGTGGGGGGTGGGTGTGGTGGGTGGTGGGTGGCTGGGGGGTGGGTGGGGGGTGGGTGGGTGGGGTGGGTGGGTGGGGGGTGGGTGGTGGGTGGGTGGTGGGTGGGTGGTGGGTGGCTGGGGGGTGGGTGGGGGGTGGGTGGTGTGGTGGGTGGCTGGGGGGTGGGTGGGGGGTGGGTGGTGGGTGGGTGGTGGGTGGCTGGGGGGTGGGTGGGGGGTGGGTGGTGGGTGGGTGGTGGGTGGGTGGTGGGTGGCTGGGGGGTGGGTGGGGGGTGGGTGGTGGGTGGGTGGTGGGTGGCTGGGGGGTGGGTGGGGGGTGGGTGGTGGGTGGGTGGTGGGTGGCTGGGGGGTGGGTGGGGGGTGGCTGGGGGGGTGTAAAAAAAGGGTAGGGGTGGGTGGGGGATGGTGGGGCTGGGTGCGGAAATCAAAAGGATGTGTCTAGAAGGCGAACTGCAAAATGGCGATGAATTTCAAAAAGAAACCGAACTGGTGGACATTCGTTCGAGGTGGTTTCCTATTGCAACTCATAGTCACTATGGAACAAGCAGGGGACTGTCTGAGAATAAGACAATATCTTGGCAAAAACGTGGGGTACGAAAAACAAGCTATATAAACAGTCTGATGCAAGTCAATTAGGCTACCCTGAAATATGAAACACGGAGACTGCAGATGGGGATCCCAAGAACTTAGCTGTGTTCCTCTGTGTCTTCCGTTAAAATGTCTCGATGGAACAAATCTGCAACTCTAGATTCCATTCCGCTTTGTATTTCAGCTGTTGTCCTGCAAGGAACATGTTGTTTCCGGCCCGAATCTTTACCAAGCCTCGAAAATTAACATCATGTCAACAGAGATCCCAGATTAACAGCAAAACATGACTGTATTAACACATGATTGTCAGCATCCCTCTCATGGGTGGTTCGGATCGGTGATTTGGAGGTGGGGGGGGTGGCTTCCCATTCGGGGCTGAGATGGTTCACAACTCCCCCCCCACCCCCCACCTTCAATTTGTGAAACATCAACGTGCTGTCTCTGTGGCTGCTCTGAAGGGTGCATAGCCAACCACAAGAAACTCTGCCCCCAAGGTTGCAAAGCTCTTCTCCTGCAAGCCTGACAAACCAGTTCACACCGCGAAGTCTCTCGCAAATCAGACTGGAACCAACATGATCTCCCATGAACCGCGATTCCCCTAGAACCTGGACTCTGGGTCAAAAATGGGTACCCAGAACGGATCCCTGGTAAATGGATCCCTGTGACACAAATCTGCGGTCACTTGACCCATCGCAGGTGGCCGTTGGTCTGAGGGCTGGCCTAGAATGACCCCCAGCAAGACCTACAGGGATCCGGATGCATGACAACCACCTGAGCATTGCAACTTGTAAATGGTGGGGTTCCCTCTATGTTGGCCGAAAAAGCCATGTTTCAAATGGGCAAAATGGTATGCTAGGAAAAAACTTTGTTTTTTGCAGACCCCCAGTAAACATGAACAGAACCAAAAAAACACCAAACAAAAAAAAAAAAAAACATGCCAAGAACAGTGAAGAAATGTAGCTTTTAAGGAGCCCTGCACAAGGAAGCTCACTTTTGATTGGTAAAGCCACCCACGGCGGGGATATTGTGCTGTTGTTGATTTTGAGGGCACGTTTTCTGGATGGTTTAACGGGACACCACAAGGAAACCCCCACCCCCACCCCCACCCCCACCCCTCAAAACAAAAGACACACACACACACAACAACCAACAAATAACAAGAAACTTGAGGGGGCCCTGGGTTGACCTGACATTTCCAACAGCTAACAGCCGCTGTCGGCCCCTGCCCCGCCGCCCGTCCCTGACGCCCGAAAACTTCCGGAGCTGAGTGTTGGGCCCAAGGCGGGCGTGACCAAGGCTGTAGCCTTGGACAAATCTCAGAGGTGCCTTTGAATTTGCATGGTTGGACGACCCTCCAAAAAACCAACACTTCTGTCTACCTAACACTAAAATGGTCCAAACCCAAAAAGTCCATAATGTTCCCTTTTTGTTTCCCTTGAAAGCCCCTAAAGAAAGCCCAAAAAGCAAAACCCTAGGGGAAACCCTAGAAAAAGCCTAGGGGAATGCAAAAGCCGCTAGTTGGTTTTGTGGTCCCCCCAAATTTAATCTACACATGTGGCGCTTGTCCTCAAACCTGAAAGCAGGAATCCCCAAGTAAAGGATCTTTACCATTGTGAGCACCAGGTCAGGGTCTCCATAAATAAGGCACATGGTTGGACCTTGCAAGATTGTCCGGACAAGTGGAAATGGATGGAAAAGCAAGCCCATTTCCCTTGGCCTTCCGCAACGAAAAAACAAAAACATGAAAGCGCAAACCAAGAGGCAACAGGAAGTCGAAAAGGCAGCGTAACACAGGGGCTCCTATATTGCCCAGTCCAGTGGATCCACTGGCCAGGCCACGTTGATTTTGTTTTGATTTTTAAAGGTGGTACACTTCCCGAATGGATTGGCCAAAAGAGTCCGAACTGCATAGTTGCCACTAAAACTATGGTCTTCCCAAAAAGTCCAAAGTCCAGGAACTCAGTGAGTGAGCCGAATTGAATTGATGACTTCTGGCGCTTTGGACATTTGAACCTCCGGTTCGATTGGACAAAATGGGAAGCTCAGCTTCAAACCATTGGGCTCCAAACCAATTAGAGCAAAGCTGATAATTCGTTCGGTGGTTTGGAGATTCGGGCCGGTTTCTCACTCACCCTCAAAAGCCAGGGACCCTAGCTTTATCCAAAACCAGTTCCCACCAACCCAAACAATCCCTGAACCCAAAAAGCAAGAACAACCGCCGGAGTCTGCTGGTCTCTCGCCACCTCAATGGCGCGGCTTTCGCGGCGATCACTCGCATGTCCTTCTCCTCTTCAGATCCGCCACCTCCTTCTGCAAGTTGGAGATCTCGCCTTCCATGGGCCCCTCTCGCCCTCAAACTTCGTCACGGTCGCCAGCTGACTCTCCAAGGTGCCTTCAGCCTTGTTTGACCGCTTTATCTCTTACACCTATCCCTTGAGTCTGGGGATCAGTGCTTGATAGCCCTTGCAATGTCCACACAGCCGTTCGGCCTGTAAGCGACCCAAGCCCCAGTGGATTTCCATGAAAAAAACACTTGGCTCTGGTTTCAAGAACTGTCCAGCATACCTATAGGAGGGTTGGGGCATGCGCAACTTGATTTTCAAAGCCAAGGATGTAAATATCCCGAATGTTCTGTCTCGAAGAAAAGGAGGTCAAAGGGAATCGCATCCGCAAAAAGCGGAATTGGCTCAATGTATCCTTTCCACGTTGCTTCCCGAATGAGACATTACCCTTGCCAAGGGAAGCTCAGCCTTTGGGCGGAACAGGCGGGTAAAAGTGTGTTGCCAAGAAGGCGCCGGGGTCCCTTGTTACCCTTTCTTGGAATGCTGAGGAAACCTTCAAAATTTAAAGGAACCAAGTGCACGAGGGGGCCCTAAACACTCATGCGTCGGCGCTGCGTCGGTGTGAAAAAATGAGCCCCAACTTGTGTGGTGCCAAAGGAAAGCCAAAACGGAAACCACCATTTTAGGTGTGCCTGGCAAAAGACCCACCCATGTCTATGGCCGAGTGGCCACGATGTCATCCAGCGATGCCACCTGACTCTGACGGCTGCCCCAAAGCATAACTTTTCAAAGGGGCAAGGGGCTGGCCTTGTGCAGGTTTCTCCTGGAAAAATTGCAAATTTCTGGTGGTGTCCATTGAAACTGCCACTTTTGGTGGTTCCAAAACAGGAAATAGAACGGACAGGAGCCACCCAGAGTGATTGCACAATGGCATCCGGGTTTGGGGGACCCAACTGGCATGCACTGACCAGCACCCCAGAAGCAGTGTTTCTTCCCATGCTCAAAATCCCAAGTACTGTCCGGAACGCAGTGCTTGGAGGGTGCTTTGGATTTGTGGTTTGGTGGTTAGGGGGTGGTGGTCCATTTGCCAACTCTCCAGAAGCCAGGGACTCCGCCAGGGACCCGTTCAAATCCAACTCCATCTCCCCATCCAAACCACCAACGAAGGGTTACCTATATAAAAAGAAACAGCGAAGAGCCCCATGCCCAACCGAAGAAAAAAAAACAAAAACGGAAAGAAACAACGAAACAAAAACCAAGCCGCAGGCGTCCGTTTTTGCCGCGGAGGGTCGCTCTTCCCCCCGCCCGGCCCCCAAAGCCCCCGCCCGGCCCGCCGAAACACAAAACCCGCCGCCGGCCTCCGCTGCCATTCGCGCGCCCCAGGACTTGCCCATGACAATGGCCTTGGGCCTGCCGTCCAACCGCGCTCTCGCCCAGCGCGGCCACGGCAATCCGGACCCCAGCAACAAGCAAATTCTGGTTTGCCTGGCTCACGGAAACACAAAGGAACCCAAAAAAAAGCGCAACGAATCAAAAACGGGAGCTGATTCTGGGGAATGTCAGCATTGGTAAATGGAATCATTCTAATCTAAACCAGTGCCATCATTTTTCGTTTCTAACCAAACTAAACCAAACAGGACGGGTGCTGGGGTCCTTTCAAAAGCTTGCCAAAAAGCGGCGCGTCAAAAGAAAAACGCCGCAAAGCCAAAATGCTACAACTGAAGCGGTGGGAGGTTGGGGGGGAGGTTCCCGAAGTGCTCTCTAAGGAATTCTGGGGAACCCTCGCACATACCCCCCCTTCGAAATTCCATCATTTGTCCTCGTTTTGACCAAGAACATCTCCTCAGTCATGGCTAGCCAAACTGGAGCGCTAAATCCCTCAGCCCAAGATCTCTACACCCATCGCAATGCTGCCAGCTCGCTTTTCCGACCTGCTGTCCAAGTGACAAGAGGCACTCAAGCGATGGCGTCTCCGATGGCTGTGCAAACGCCTTTAAGCAATCCTGCAGGAACTAGGGACGGCTAGGAAACATCTCATTTCCTGGAGTTGCTTCAAACAATTCTCTTCGCAAATGCTTTCTCATTTTTTGTTCAAATCCAGAGAAAGGGCCACAAAGGTTGCTTCAAACAACCTGTCTTCGCAAAAGCTTCTTCAAATCCAGAAAAAAACTCAGGAAGTGAAATCCCGTCTCACGCCGGCCGTGCAGACCGTGGCCCTACGAAGATCTCTAGGCGCATTCCACGCCCTCGCGGCTTGTCAAGCCCACCGCACGCCGGAGGCTCAAGCTCATGTGCTGGCCACCGCAGTACTCCTCGCGCTCGTGGAGTTTTTCCCCGATGCAACTCGAAAACCCCGTGAATTACAGCTGTCAGAAGTTTGGGTGGGAAGTCTTTTGGGGACACCCAAAATGACTGCTTGTCCTTTTCTTTTCAAACCAACCGAAACAGGATGCCCTCCAGAAACAGCAGACCCATTTAAGCTCAAATCTGATTGCAGCCATTGTTCGTTGGTATTCACATGATTTCCAGGGATTGAGGTGGTGCCTACGAAGTTGGATGTCGCAACCACCCACAGCATTTGAGAAAACAAATTAGCGGGGATACCGGGGATGTGCGAGGATTCCCTATAAAGGAAACCATGTTTAAACTTTTCTCGAGAAAAATGTCCACATCCCTGCTTCACCAGTATCCCCGCTTGTTTGGTTGTTTGAAGTCTGGAGTTGCCATCCACCGTACCCTGAAACAAACGCAGGCCACGCCCCTTGGCCCTCAATCCTCATCCCGCATGGCGCACACGAACAGAGAGGTGACGATCACGTCGTAGACGCCCACCGCGAGGCGGCTGATGAGGAAGCTGAGCGCTACGATGGTCAAGGCGCAGCACCTGAGTCGGGTGGAATCCTGATGGGGTGGAAACTGGAAATACATCCTCTTTCCCACCATCATGGAAGCTTGGGCTTTTGTGGGATGCACTCAGGACGCGAGGAGATTTGAACCCCACTACCCTTTTGTTCCAATGATGGAAGTGGACAGGGGGGCTGCCCCAAAAGGAAAGTAGTCTCTTCCAAAACCCTCCTGTCAGCTTCGATGATTGTTGGAGAGAGGCATCTGATTTCTCTTTTGTAATTCCCTTCAGACAGCCCAAAGTGGGTCAAGTATTTTGACAGAACCTCCAGCTCACAGGTCCCCAGCACATCACCTCACCGTGCAATCGCCCTTCAAGGTGATGATTGGATTCACCAGAAGCAAAATGGGCGAATACTGGGAGCCCTGGCTGTCTGCTTAATTCCAAACCTCCGCCAGCAATCCTAGAAAAGTCAACCGGCGAACACCGGCGCAGGGGGCGAACATTTTGTTGTGTTTCTTTTGGATGTCCCTGCCATACATTCAAGAAGGCAAACTACAAACCACCCGAATTTGCTGCAATTTACTATTGTTTTGTGGTTGAGGGCGGTTGGTTTACTTGCAGAATGCTAGGGGCATGAACCGTGAGGTTCCCCAAGCCACGTTCCTAGTCTTGCCAAAGGGGGATGGCCTTGTTTCTTTGCTTGGTCTTTTTCAAGGAAATGTTACAAATGGTCACATGTGTCAGATGGTTGAAAAGGGTAGCATTGGCGCACACACTGTTTGCAGATCTTTTTTGGTCGGCTCCCACTTGACTCATAATCAAAACCCGATATTAAAATGGTCTACCCAGAACCATGCTTCAAGAATTAAGAAACACGGGCATCCGCAGCTATTTATGGCAAGGGGGATTGTCCCTTACTAGCCTTCATCCATCCGAATCGGTGTTGAGGGCGTGCCTCACTTGACAGGGATCAACCCTCACACGATTAAGTCACATGCAGCCGAGAGAGTGAAAGCTGAGCTCCCTTCACTCCGGGCCCGCCTGGCTGGACTGGGACTGAATTGCTAAACCTTCCAAGAGATTGACGGGCAGAAACATGTAAACATGCCTCCCTGCACCCCTCAAACTCTCCTTGCACATGGAATTGCAATAACCCCATAGCTTTGGACCAATCACCCATGTATAAGGTCTATGAGAGTGAGGGTCAGGGGCTATTGATCCAAAGCCACGTATTTGTTGAACCCCTCAATCACCCATGTATTTTTTTGAGGGTCCAGGTCTATGAGACTTGCTCTCTTCAAGGACCCGTTTTTGCGCCAGCCGGCACCCTTCGCAGAAGCCCAGCGCTGGGGGCTGGTAAAAAAATCAGGGAACCCGGACGGGTTTGGTCTGCCCCATTTAGAGGGCGGCGCACGGTGGCAGGGTCCAAGGTGGCCCCCCACCACATTTTCGAATTGCTCCAGCGCCAGTAGAGGTGTTAGAATAAGTTGGCACCAACTTTTTGTCTGTCTAATTTAGTAGGGGGTTGCCCCTCCCAACCAAAGAAGGGGTGAGAAAGGGCACCAATTGCTGCGGGACCTAGTTTTGGACCACCCCCTGCTTGCTGCTTGCCAAGGCCAAGCACTCATAGGTGACCCAGCTCTCCCGGAGCACCAGGAAGGCCCCGCCAGCGAGGATCAAAGGCACTCCTCGGATCGAAGGCGATTCCGTCGATGCAAGCAAGTGGCAGGGCTGCTCCAAAAACCCAGCGGCAGACAAACTCAGAAAAACGACGTTTGGCCCCCAAGAAAACAAAGAAATAAAAAACAAGTTATAGGCCAGTGTTCTTGCCTTTGCTTTTGGTCAACCTTTTGAATTTCCCCCGTTTGAAAGGGAAAAGGGATTGGGGGGGCAAGATGGTGAGTGAAAAACGGCTCATACAGACTAACTTGCCCAAAGAGCCTGGAATTAAAAGCTGATCATCTGTTGGGGACATGACTAAAAATGGGAACCCCAAAAGGGGAAACTAAAGGGTCAGATCTGGTCGATTCGCTTTGGACAAGTGAGTATAGCAATTAAAGGGTCCACCCTGCACAAGCCCAATGGACACGTTCATCTACTTGAGCGAGGACGGATCGAACGTTGGCACCACTGCCAGAAGTGCCAACGCTGCCTTTTCAACTTCAGAAAAGTCCTCTTCGTAGGCATCAATCATCCCCCCGCTTGTGAACCAGGAACGTCGAAATGGACATCTAAGCAGAGGGAAAAATCGACAAGATGTAATGGCAGCAGCTGGGAAACGAGTCCATCCCAAACAGACAAGGCACGTTGGGCAATAGAAAAAGTCTAAACAAACCGCAAAGCCATGCCCCAATATGCGTAGCAAAACAGTCCAGCAAGGACGTGGCAGAAATCGAAACCTCTTCCGCGCCGAAAAGAATGCCCGTGGCCATGGATCCTAGTGGTGTGCCCCTGTTGTCCACTTGCCTACTTGCAAGTTAGCAAGTGGTTAGATAAGTGGGATATCACTCAATAACATGGTTAAGCCCACTGAACCGCGGACTTCTGCCCAGTGCAGGTTACTAACAACTTACTAACTTGGCGAATCGAACACCCAAGTAGGGCCTAGTGACACGGTAGAACAAAGTCGAGTGCCACAGGACTGGTACTCACATCCAGGCTAGGTAAAGGTAGGACTTGCACGTCCGGCCGCTCGAACGCGGCCCTGAGAAAAACAAAGCACCCCGAACCATACCGTGGACGGTTGCAAAAATCCGCTTCGCACCACCTGAGAAGCGCCTGGTTTCTGATGATGCCCCTGTAAATACATGTAAATATTAACCAGCAATGGTAAACCACATGGCTTCCAAGTGGTAAAACATCGATTTCGTCCCACAGTATGAGTGGGAACCATCAAGCAAAAATGGATTTGGAGGGCGTCACTGAAGAACCAGGAATCGCAACAAACGATACATAATGCAGCAAACAAACTGCCACTCGGTTTTCTTTTAAAAAGTGAGTAGCAACTGACCTAGAGTAAAAAACAGGGGCTGTCCAAACTGATCCCCTAAAAGTTTAACTTCTAGTGGAGGAAATGGACACCCCCAAGCTAAACCAACAAAAAAGACCTAAAACCTGAAGAGACGGCCGGGAACCACCCAGCTACATGCTGCAAGGGCACCGAGGCTAACCAGAAAGCCAAGAGCAATGGAGGTGAGCTTGTTCAAGGCAACCTCGCACAAGGTTACTGCACGGCCAGTGAAATAAACTCGGTTGCTTTCTGCTCCCCTGCGAAAAGAAGTTTAACTTATTAGCGGTTTAATTGGAAAACTCATTAGTTGGCAACAAGTTAAAGTCCTAACATCCAAGCAACATGCACCAAAGGAAACACGGCCGACTCGGCCGTCAATCCGGGAACTCTGAACATGTGTAGCGGCTCATTTGTGTTCGGGCAGAGTATGGCAGAATGCCTTCCCTGCCCGCTTGAGCAATCTACTCAATCAAGCAGAAGTGAGTCACAATCAAAACCCGGTACAAAAATGGTCCACTCAGAACCATGTAAAGAACTAAGAAGGCGGCCGCAGCTACTTATGGCTGGGATCGTCCCTTACTAACCTTCACTTATCCGGGTTTTGTGGCTCAAGTGCTGGGAGCAAAGTTGCTATTTAAACTGTTAAACTGGGGTGCTCTCCCCCCTGAGCAAGAATCGCAACTGGGAAAGCCGTTGCTTCCAACAGGTCTAGGGGCCAAGGTCACACCAAAGACCAGCCAAGCAAATAGACCGCGGTCCCAGAATCATGCAATGGAGCTGGCCATTGCATAATGTTTGATTGAACGGACCAGCAAGAGGAGAAAACATGAGCATCTGTTCAAAGTGACAAGCAACCCTCCAAGGACGCTGTCACAACAATAGAATGTTGGACCTTGGAAAAGGAGCAGCAGGGTCCAAGTCCAATGTCCACCCTTGCAGCTTGGTCATGTTGCTGCCACTGGAGCAAAACACCTTCAAACTTCTTGATGCCACTGGGCAAGCAGGCCATGGTTGTGGATATCAAGCTTCTTGCGATACTGATGTGGCACACTCCTATGACTACATTGGGATTTCACAAAAGGTTCCCTTGGAAATGCCGACCCCGGAGTTGTCCACCTGGCTCACGGCGGATGATTTAATGGCTCATACCTCCCAGTGGCTCCATTTGCCTGGTTTTGTTTTGTAGGAAAACCAAGGGAACCAACCTGAAAAAAAGCAAAAGAGACATATCACAAAACTCGGCTGGAATTAGGACCCCAGCAAAAAAAAACATATTTTTGCCTTATCTTTGCCTGAGCCTTATAATCCAATCCTTTTACTTTGTCATGTTACCGCGGCTCCCTTGGCATCGCAGAAAGGCGACGCGACCTACCTGCTTCCAACCACGACCACCACCCAGGAGAGCTCACCCTACATGGCCCAAAGAGGTGCAGCTTCAAACCAGTAGAAAAGGGATTCAAACGCTGATTGTATAGGTCCCTCAATGAGCCCATGGCCATTTGGGATTCTCTGGGTCCGATTTCCCATAATTAAGCCACAACTGACAGTTAATTCATACCCGGGGTTCATATACGGACATATTCATTTAACATTTTTTGAGGATTTTTTGGTGGGCCCCTTCCCATATTGATCAGCTCTTTGCGCGGCCTGAGTAGGGTACTTGGCGAAGAGGGCGAAGGATTTGCAGGCAGCCGGTGCAAAAGCCTCCCCAATCACCGCCACGTAGATGTAGGCGTACTCCGTGACAAAGCGCAGGCCTCATGAGTCTAGTTAGTAATTAAGTGGTTACCCACCTGGGTTACAACCAGGCCACTAAGATGGTTAACGCCACTGAACGGGGGACCCATAAGTGGATATCACTGAATGGTTGCCAACAACTTACACAACTTGGCGAATCGACTACCCAAGTACTCAACTCGCGAAGACGCCACTCTTGGGAAACCACCATTAAGATAAACAAAAACCAGGCCAATCGGCACAAGATCGGGTGGCTGTCGCCAGTAACAATTGGGGCTCCATCCATCTAGTCTGAGTCCGCCGATGTTTTGGGAGTTTGCTTGGTATCTGTAGCTTGGCTCACTTCTTGCGTGGATCGGCCCCAAAAAAAGGCACCAAACTTTTGTTTACCACCTAAATGGTCCAAACCCAAAAGGTTCAAACAAGTCCAGTTGAGCTGCGGAAGTGAGTTAAACCTATGCATCATTAACGTTGGAGCCAATCTTCCCCGGTTTTGGTGAAAGTCTGACGCATCTTTTTAGAATTCCCAGGCTTCGATGATTGGATCAACTTGTTTTTCCCTCGGGGTAATAAGCGATTCCCTCGCAAGCGCCAAGCCAAATACACAATTTGAATCCCTCCTCTGGGGCAAATAAGACATGTTCGTCCGATCCATGGAATCCATGGGGCATGGGTTGGAGGAATGGGTAGTTGTTTCAGTGGGATCGAGCGGGAGGCCCAACCCCCCTGTGCACGTGGAGTTTCAAAGGGTGGCGGTCCATGGAGAGAAACCTGAGAAAGCCCCAGAAGGACCACTGGAATCCGGGGAAAGCAACTTGACAACCACTGCCATTCCTTTCCCAGGGGCAGCAGTACCCTTTTTTCTGTAGTCTATTTTAGCCGACAAAACCCAAACACCACAAGAGGGGACAAAAACTTGGGCACCAATTGTAGCTGCTGAGATTTCCTTTCCCAGGGGCAGCAGTAGAGCCAATTCAGGCAGCACTTGGTGATGCAGCGGATGCTCTTCGCCAAAGGGTTCTGCTCCGTGGCCTCCTTCCAGGGATCGGATCCGAAAGGGATCCGGAGAAATAACTTTTCAGCGGTTGCGGTTGAAAGACGTACCCCAGTGGATCCAGCGACCCTCAAAAAATGGGGTCATGATCCAAATTTAAGGGGTTTAGCGCTCATGGAGACTCTAGGTACCCAGTGGATCCAATGACCTGTACCTGGTCTCCATGACCCCTAGAAGAAGGTTCCAACCAACCAACCAAGCGTGGTTTCTCATGGTTTCCAAGTGGTGCAGGATTTCGTCCATCAGTATGACTACATTGGGATTTCACCCAAGACTGCTTTGATAGTGCCAACCCCGGATTCGGATGAGTCAACCTGGCTCGTTGATAGTGGGGCATTGGGGAAAAAGGTAAAGGATTCCCTTCAAGAACTTAGATCCTGATACCTCCCAGTGGATCCATTGACCTGCATAGTTAGGTAACCAAGAGCTTGCCACCCTTCACAAGCCAACAAGAAAATAGCGAAGGGTTACCCACAATAAGGGCTTGCCTGGAATCTATTGGGCTGCTTGGAGCATCCCGGTTTTCGCAAGAGGAGGAAAACATGGCAAACATGTCTGGAATCTACAGAAGCTCCATTCAAAGGTGATCACCTGTGAGAACCTCAACGAAAATGGACCAAATCAGGGAAGCTAAGCTCACTCCCCATCTAGTATAGTGGACTGGCCAGACAGTAACCAACCATGTTATTTGCCACCAAAATGGTCCAACCCCAAAAGTGACTCAACTCCGAAACGCAACTCCGGGAGTGTGTTCCCGAGGGTCAAAAGGGTCGTTGCAAGTGGGTTAAATAATCCATCTCTACTCTTGGTATGGTAGCAAAAAAATGTTTTTTGCAGACCCCCAGTAAACATGAACAGAACCAAAAAACTATCAAACCAAAAAACATGCCAAGAACAGTGAAAATAATCAAATATCGGCTCTCTCGAGGGTGCCAGCGAGCCGCGTGATAAGAAACACATTTCGCATTTTGTGTTCAAGCTGGCTCCGGGATCTGCCGAAAATGAGATTTCAGATCGGCCCGTGGGGCCTAAGTCGTTGATTCCCCACTCTCTTCACCCACTTTTCTCTTCAATTCCTGCCCTCATTCTTGCAGGGGTTTGGCTCACTTCCGTCCGAGTGGACTAGTCGAAAAACAACAAACAGTGACCAACCTTTCTGCTTGCCACTTAGAAGTGGTCTTCCCAAACAGTATCTCAAGGCCAGGAACTCGGGGAGTGAGTTGAAGACAAGGACCCCTGAAAATGGCTTCAATGTTTCTACAACTGGCTGTGGTTGTAATTTTAGGGTAACCCCAAAATGGGTTGCCCTGGTAAATGGAAACATGGACTAAAACCTGCGGTCCCCTGGTTTAAAAATAGCTCCAACCGATCGCGAAGAGAAAGCTTTCTCGACTGCAGCTGCAAACAGACTTGGGAGTGAAGTCCAACACGACGATGACGGAACACAATACAAGGGAGGATGCATGCCATCGGCTTGCAGGTTTCTACAACCAGCTCTCCTTGGTGTGGCGCTCCATGTACTCCAAAACCAGGCGCGGCACCGTGCACAGCGTCATCGCCAAGGAACCGAAGGCCTGGGGGAAAAAACAAAAAACACGTGCATATCCCTTGGGTGCTGTAGATCCTCCAGCAAAAGGTTTAACTTTTGGCTGGTTGAAAGGAAATATGAAGTGAATCCACAAAGTTAAAGTCTAAAGATCCAACCCAATAGCGGTAGAGATCCCCTCTCGCAATTCAGACCAGTCGAAAGGTCCAGGGAAGATGGGTAATGTGGACCCCAAATGAATACACCCGTCCTGTTCATAGGAAGGTGAGAGCCCCCAGGTGTAACGTTTTACACCCCGCCCCCCTCTCGGAGTGAATTTGCCATAAAAAGGGACACACACATATGTGAGTTGTTTAAGGGAACCTGTTTGTTGGGCTTGCATTAAAGGGAACTCAAAGCACCATTTGCTTAACCCCCCTGACAAAATGAGAAAATATTTACAACCACGGGCAAACCACAAAAATGTCCTTGAGGCTCCCCGCCTTTGCGTCGCACACAAAAACCCGTACTTGGTTGACGTTGGAAGGGGAGCAACAAAAAATACTTTTCACAGTTAAGTGGCTGGATTTCAACCACTCAACCACAATAAGCAAAAATGTTTCTTATAAGGTTTCCCAACACCAACCACGCATACTCGATGGATCTTTTCTAGGGCGCTAGGGAGCCGAGGTGGTACCGGAAGATCTGCAGCAGCGACACCGCCACGGCGGAGCCCAAGCATCCCCCGAGGTTGGGGCAAAGGTGGTGCTCCTGCACAGGAGATCTCACTGGCTGAGTGGATGGGCCACGAAAAAAACTAACTTGATATTTACCACTAAAATGGTCCAAACCGTTACCCAAAAAGCTGTTAAAGTTCATGAACTCAGAAAGTGAGGAATGGGATGCCCCATTGTGCGTAAAACGGGCGCCAAAAAAGCGAACCGATTTGTGGAAGCTCCAATTCGTTTTCGAGACTATTATGGGCCTACCTAGTAATATGGCCATGGGTCAAAAGCCCGTAATTTCAGTGAACATCCCAATCCCCACTAAAATAGACTCAAATGGGTGGTGCACCTACCCAAAAATGATACCATTGGTTTTGACCCACACCCATATTGTCCATTGCTTATACCATTCAACTGCCTAAACTGCCTGGTTCATTGGTTGATCAATCCTCACTTGACCCCCTGAAGAGAGGTGGGTGACGGACCCCTCAATCAACAAAAGAAAACACCGCAGAACCTACAACTCAAGTCCTGACTGAGTGGATTGGCAGAAGAAGTACTCACGCTCTGTGTTTGCCATTAAAGTTGTCCAAACTCAAAAAGTCAGGGAGTGAGATACATGGAGATGTCAATACCCCCGTCCCCCATTCCATGCGTGTGGGGATCCAACAGGGGACAGTTAAAGTAAGGTCCCCAATCCGTGCCTTCCAGCGAGAAACATCCACACAAAGTCCACTACCTTCCCCGCAAGAAACTCTTGAACTACTAGCTAGTCTTGAAATCTTCAATGGGCTGCCCTCAGTTCCCCCGCTAAAAGTTTAACTTTTAGTGGGCCAAATGGAAACCACTAAACGCTAAAAAGCTAAAGCTGAGGGGATGGCTGGGAGCCACCAAGTGAACATTGCCTTTTCCATGTACTTGAACTTCCCCCATCGTTCTACTGGAGCATGTTGGAAAGTCACGAAAACTCAAGGTCTTGTTAGTGTTTTCAGTGAGATAAAAAAGATGATATTCAACGAATGACGGCTGTTCTCGAACGAGTTGAATCACCTTGACCTCAAAATTGGTGTTCTTCTTCGTGGTGTGGAGGCTGCGGGTGCTTGCCGGCATGTTGAGTGGGGGATCCGCCAAACAAATACTCGGTTGCTTTCTGCTCCCCTGCTAAAAGTTTAACTTTTGGTGGATTAATGGAAAACCCATTGGTTGGCAAAAAGTTAACAACCTAACATCTAAGCAAAACGCACCAACAAATAGGTTGCGTTGTGCATTCATGTTTTTTGCCGTGGAATCCCCCTTCGTGGAAGGGGCTTCGACGGGTTTAGTGTGTCTCCCGAAGATCCCCTCGGAAGTACAAGCTGGAGACGGTGAGTGCGATGGTGCTGTGGTACAGCGCGATGTGAAAGAAGTACCTCGGATCTCAGTCCTTAATATATAGTAGGTAACCATGCAGCCGTCTTCCCTGTCTTTTCTGGGTGGTCAAGTTGGTCAAGCTAAGTGGATCCACTGGGTATGTTAACCGTGTTCTGGAGACATCCGAGGCGCAGCCAAATAAACATCACAAAGAGGAAGAAGGCGAAGGCTTTTTCGAGCTGGTCAGCCTGCGGCCACTTTCTTTGGATGTAACCTTCCATCGGAACAGAAGGCAGCCGCTTTTTTTGTAGTTGACTTGGTTGCTGGAAGGACCCCCCTGCAAAAAGTTTAACTTTTTGGTGGTTTTGTAGAAAACCCCTTGATTTCCCAAAAATTAAAGTCTAAAGATCCAATCCAATAGCAGTCAAGTTGACGTCAACGGGAAACCCATCACGAAAGAAAAAGGAGACATGGGCACAGGTCTGGGGAGCACATGCATACGCAGCCCAACAGATGCTCTTATAATGGCACAAAGATTAATTGTGGGACCAAGGAGTTGCATGATCCTTGGTTGATAAGCCTCTGGCCTCACTTCCTGAGTGGATGAGACACAAAAAAGTCCAAACCACTAGAGTTTGAAGTTCAGGAGCTCAGGGAGTGACCCCTGCTTGATAAACCCTGCTTGATTTGACGGGTGTCCCATTCTAAATTTTACACTCCTATCCCCTGGAACCCGGCTGGGGTTCATGTTAAAAGATGCTGTGGATGGACGAAATCCTGCACCACTTTGAAACCATGGGAACCATTGTTTGCTGGTATTTACAGGGGAACCATCATTCCAGGGTGTCTTAGGTGGTGCAGGATTTCGTCCATCCACAGTAGGACCCCTTCAGGTGCCATGTTAGCGGAGAGGGTAGATCACTTTGGGGGCAACCCACCCCAAAAGCTTTGCTTCAGGTTCCATTCGGGGTCGGTCATCGTGATACCTGAGGACTCTCTGGCATTGAGCCAATGCTTAGGCTACCCTCCATTTGCTTAAGTCCTTTGAACAAAACTATGTCTAGGAGTCATAGACTCCCTTGGACACCCCCAGCACAACTATTAGTTTAAGCACCAAAACACACATATTCTGAAATGCGCATGAAACCAACTCCCCCCCCCCCACAAATGCATCTCCTGTTCCGGAAGTGCGTTCCGGCTGCCTTACCCGAAGGTCTCTTCTGCAGCAACTCCCAGCTTCAGGAGATTCAAGGTGAAGATGCAATAGCATGGTCCCTAGTGTGGACGAAATTCTGCACATGCAAAACTAATTCCCCTGAAAACGCCAACAGACAATGGTTTCGGCCATGGGTTTCAAAGTGGCGCGAAATGGACTTCGCAACCGTCTGCACCATCCCCTTGAGCGTCAAACATCACCTTTTCGCCCCTTTTCAAGTGACTTTCCTTTGCATGGGGTGAGGTTCTCATTGGAGAAACCTAGGCACCCCTGAGGGATTCAAACCAGAAGCCACCCGAGAGCTTGCATCGGATCTGTGCATTCTTTCGCCGGTGGGGATACGGTGTGTTGCTCTTGAAGCGCCAAGCTTCCAAACTCGTCAAGTACAAAGGCTGTGGCACGGACCTTTTTGGTTGGTGGCTGGTTTTAAAAGGAAACCAAAAGGTTTAACATAGCCATGGGTGTTCTCTCTAAAAAAAAAAACACCCATGTAAATATTTTTCCTTTGATTCGGGGCGTCGAATTGAATCGGGGCGTCGTTGCGAGGCAGTAACAGGGGTTTATTTCAAAGGCATTTCACAGGTGTAAGGACTGGGTCAAACTTCCAAAAACATGGACTGTTGGAGGGGGTAGTTTGCTCACCCCAAGCCACACGCGGCCACCTTCACGTGCCCGTTGTAAACCCTGGGAGTACCCATTTTAAACCTTAAGGGTACCTGAGTCTGTTGCGGGTACTCCGCCCGATGCCCGCTGCGCTACGGGGGCATCCATCGCGGTCCGGCCAGGGCTCGGCTTTTGCTTTCCGCACGAGTCTCTCCATCGGAAGAGTTTTAACGTTTGGCCCATTGAAGGGCTTACCTTCAGAAAAAAACGCTCAGAAGGGAAACTCGCGTTGGCAACTTACGCAGCTTATGTGTTTAAAATATACGCTTCTAAGCCTCACGTTTTGGCAGAACATGAGCTACCAGTAAAAAGGTTCGTACTAGGGCTACGCGTTGGAGTTGACTTGGGTGAAAGACACGAGAAACGAAGGTGGCCATGCTAGTAAGAAACATAAGTACAAGTAAAAGGCGAGAGAATGATAACCCGGTCCAAACGGATCTTTGCACATCTTCAATACTGTGTAAAGGACCTTGGAAAGGTCCTGAGGCTTATCACGAACGGGCATGATTTTAGATAAGTGACTGACCCACCGAGATTCACCAGAAACGCAATGGCCAAGCATGTGTAAGCTAAATTGCCCACACCCATTTCTGATAGACTTAGGGTTGAGTACGGGGCGAACTTGTTACACGTCGAAATTTGTGACGGTTCGCCGCGATACGTTTTTCTGATGAACCTCGATGAGGTTCATCGGGAAATCTGGAACGGAAATGACTTGGGATCAACTGTCCAGGACACACCCGCTTAGGGGGCTTTCCTGTTTTGACACATTCCCATCTCTGATATATAGACTTAGGGTTGAAAACGGGGCGGACCTGTTCTACTTCTAACGGTCCGCCGCGACAGTTGTCCCTCACAATTTCTGACTTCTCCACAGCAACGCTTTTGAGATGAGCCTCAGTGAGCCTCATCTGAAACGCATGCGGCAATCCCTGACCCCTCCGAGTACCATAGGGAGATCAGAGCCGGAGGAGTCAGGGATTGCCGCATGGGTTTCAGATGAGGTTCACTCAGGCTCATCTCAAAAGCGTTGCTGTGGAGAAGTCAGAAATTGTGAGGGACAACTGTCGCGGCGGACCGTTAGAAGTAGAACAGGTCCGCCCCGTTTTCAACCCTAAGTCTATATATCAGAGATGGGAATGTGTCAAAACAGGAAAGCCCCCTAAGCGGGTGTGTCCTGGACAGTTGATCCCAAGTCATTTCCGTTCCAGATTTCCCGATGAACCTCATCGAGGTTCATCAGAAAACATATCGCGGCGAACCGTCACAAATTTCGACGTGTAACAAGTTCGCCCCGTACTCAACCCTAAGTCTATCAGAAATGGGTGTGGGCAATTTAGCTTACACATGCTTGGCCATTGCGTTTCTGGTGAATCTCGGTGGGTCAGTCACTTATCTAAAATCATGCCCGTTCGTGATAAGCCTCAGGACCTTTCCAAGGTCCTTTACACAGTATTGAAGATGTGCAAAGATCCGTTTGGACCGGGTTATCATTCTCTCGCCTTTTACTTGTACTTATGTTTCTTACTAGCATGGCCACCTTCGTTTCTCGTGTCTTTCACCCAAGTCAACTCCAACGCGTAGCCCTAGTACGAACCTTTTTACTGGTAGCTCATGTTCTGCCAAAACGTGAGGCTTAGAAGCGTATATTTTAAACACATAAGCTGCGTAAGTTGCCAACGCGAGTTTCCCTTCTGAGCGTTTTTTTTTCTGAAGGTAAGCCCTTCAATGGGCCAAACGTTAAAACTCTTCCGATGGAGAGACTCGTGCGGAAAGCAAAAGCCGAGCCCTGGCCGGACCGCGATGGATGCCCCCGTAGCGCAGCGGGCGTCGGGCGGAGTACCCGCAACAGACTCAGGTACCCTTAAGGTTTAAAATGGGTACACCCAGGGTTTACAACGGGTACGTGAAGGTGGCCGCGTGTGGCTTGGGGTGAGCAAACTACCCCCTCCAACAGTCCATGTTTTTGGAAGTTTGACCCAGTCCTTACACCTGTGAAATGCCTTTGAAATAAACCCCTGTTACTGCCTCGCAACGACGCCCCGATTCAATTCGACGCCCCGAATCAAAGGAAAAATCTTTATGTGCGCACCACGCTCTCCTCAAATCGATCGATCGGCGATCCCGCACCGCGCTACACCCAAGTGCTGTAGCTCACCGCCAGAAATGCAGGTCAGAACTTGCAACGAACCAGCAACTCGCTTCAATTCCAAAGCCTGAAAAGAATGGACCCCAAGGAAAATGGACCGAAACAGCTTTATTCAAATACCCTCTTCTCCCCCTTGGTTTCCCCTTGAGGGCCCAAACTACTTTCGCAAATACCGGGCGCACATCTTCCCGCCTGCAGCCCTAGGAAGCTGAAGGTGTCCTCGAGCAGAAAATGCTTGGTTCGGGGCTACTTGGATCTTCGCTTCGCCAAGGCAGGTGGCTACTCACCTGGGTCAAAACCCACTAAGAACATGGGTAACTCCACTGAAGGGGGGATATAACCCACTAAGAACATGGGAAACTCGCCTGAAGAGGGAGGCTTAGAAGTGGGTTTGTCACCTTACCAACTACATACTAACTTGGCGAAGCGAACCCCCAAGTGGTGTGGGTGGACAAATTCCGCTCACCGGTTGGCAGGTGGCAGATCCCAATGGGCTTTCGTCCTTCCCAACGGGTCCATCCCAAGTACGGCTCATATTCCTGTGGAGATGCAAACAAAAAACATGAGCCACGGTCAAAACGACGTGTTCCCTGAGAGAACATCGGAAAATGAGTGAGTCCGAAATGAGTGAGTCCGCTAGGTTGAACAGGAATACTTTGTTGACCGCGGATGAAGTTAAACGCTGGTTGAATTGGATTCGGGGGGGTGTCCCTGGTTTCATGGGGATTCACTATTGAAGGGGCCCCCACCCCGGAGTAGTAGGACGGGGTCAACAGTACCTGCGATGTGTTGCGATATTTTTGGCCTTTGACCCTTTTCTAGCGTCCTCATGAAAGCCATCGCAAAGCGCCGAAAGTAGATATTGATTTGATGACTTTTTATTTTTCGAAATAATTTTGGAAATGTTGTATATAAAAGAGATGTTTATTAACCGAACATTGAATGTTTTATTAACAGGTTTTTTATTGATTCCCACTCCCATACGGTGCTCAGATTAGCAAGGAAGCCCCCAAACCCCACTTAGTAGAGGAACCTGCTTTTGGGGGGCCAGCTTATTGAGTTGCTTGCTGCTTTTCTTTGCAGAGGAGTGTTCAAAATTCTGGAACCCCTTCCAAACAATGGCGGCTCGCCTCAAAACTCAGTGGGTTCCCACCCGGAACCCGTGGTAGTCTGCCTTGTTTTGCAGCAGGTTGGGAGACGTCGACTGCGGTTAACATCAGCTTATCCCCCGCCCAAATGGCTGGGAGTCAGCTGACCCCCCCTACATGGTAGGGAAAAAACCACCAAAAAAGAGGTACCAACGAGCCACCCACCCAATGGGTGGGAGACCTCTCGTCGTCAACTCGCTTGGTCTCCTGGACCTCATCCTGGGATGCCGTGGCCAAGCCCAGGAACGCCACCAGGAAGAGGCCGAAGAACACCGCGAGGCTGGCCAGCCTTGGATTCCAAGCTTCCGCATCCGGATCCATCGGATCCCGGATGGCAAGTCGGGGGGCGGTTGGTGTCTGATCCAAACCACAAATTGAAGGGAAGTATTCTTGAGGTAACCCCTATTTGTAGTGCGTAAATGGGAAACTACTGCTCAACCACCAAAAAAACCATTCAACACCACCAATTGAAGGGAAGCTTTTTTGAGTATACGCGTCCTTGTGCGTGTGCTTTTTCAGGAAAAGAGTTTGGTCCCTCTTTTTTGACCGTACCTGTTTCGGTGGTTTTCAAGGCAAGCTGTCATTTTAGCCTTAGTCGAACCCTCGAAAGGCGGGTCTGACGGTGTCTGATCTGCATGGGTCCCTTGGCATGTGTTTTTGAGGTAACCCCTAATTGTAGAGAGTATATGGGAAACAAGTGGGCGATCAAACCTATGCTCACTTGCCCCAAAAAACCTGGAAGCTAAGCTGATGCCCTGTTTTTGACCTGGATGGAATATGGCTGTGGCTCAAAAAAGTGGTACCAAAATGGCACCCTGGCAAATGGAACCAAAGACTAAAACCCGCGTAACCCCAGCTCTTTAATTTTGAGCCGTACCCATATGGTTGCCATACAAGAAAGCCCGAAAGTTCACAAGCTTGGCTTTGGGGCGAGTACCCCCTGTAGTCTATTTTAGTTAGGGGAATGTTCCCCCGAAAAAGGGTAAAAGGGCTCTACTGGGAAACCTAGTACTGGTCTGTCTTTTTAGGGGACCCCCTCCTCGAATGGTGCTTTTCCTTTTGTTTGCCCTTCAAACCCGCAAGCAAATGGCCTTTCCCTCGTGTTCCCCCCGAATCTGTTCGTGTCCAGTTCCTGAGTTGCCCACCAAACGTCACTTGCTCTAGGGGTACCTTCCCCAGTCTATCCTTTCTAGAAAACCTCCGGACACCCAGGGAAAACGGCCGGCCTTTGTTTGTTAAACCCAAGGAAGGAAGTCCGAGAAGGAGTTCAGGCCTCCAGTGGAACGGCTAGAAAAAGTTGGTACCCCTTTTTTTTGGGGGGACTCCATTTTAGCAGGGGCACCCTCCCAACCAAACAAGGGCTGAGAAAGGGCACCTAGCTGGAAAACCTAGACATATTCACCAGAAACTGGAAGCAACCGGAAGCCGAGCAGCAGGAAGATCGGCAAGGCCAGGAGAGAGGGCACCACCCGGATCATGTTCCCGGCTTCCTTGAGCAGCGCGATCAAGATCTTGAACTGCCGCGCCATGGAAAGCCTGACAGGGTCCATGGAACAACTACCGTCCTCGCAAAGGCATCCATTGATGCATTGGTGCTGTGGATGATCCTGCACCACTTTGAAGCGATGGGAAACCATTGTTTGTTGGTATTTACAGGTGAATCGGCTCATTCCAGGGTTTTCTTAGGTGGTGCGAAATGGATTTGCCCATCCGCAGTGGCTCGCTGGCTCAAAAAGCCGAGAAATAAACGGTGATCGCCTTGTGGCACCTTGACTACACCGAATCAAGAAAACCAACGTTCCAAAGGTCGAATCGCGGCAAGCTGGTTGATTCGTGGGGTGACCTTTTGACTGGGAATCCGGTGGTAGATGGGTGGTTCGGACGTTGGGACGGTGTCTCATGCAAGAACCTTCAAATCCCCCAACCCATCAAACCCAGAAACCTAGGGGGACGTCTCTCCTTTCTCTCCCCCGGTAAAACACAAAGCAAAACACAAACACTAGGTCCTCCAGATTTGAGAGGTTAGAATAAGTTGGTACCAACTTTTTTTTTCCGTAGTCTATGTTAGGGGAACCGAATCTCCCCACCAAACAAGTTGGTGAGAAAGGGCGCCAATTGCTGGGGGACCTCGAAAAGAAGCGTCCGAGTTCCCGCGCGCGCCCCGCGCGAGTTCATGCGCGCGCGCGCGCTCATGCGCGCCGAGGGGCAGAAGGCAGGCCAGCAGCGCGATGGCCACCGCCAGGCAACATCCGCCGATGGCGCACAGCTGGCCCGAGGATTCGTCCCCCGCCTCCGCCACTCGCAACGCGACTTGCTGGAAGGACCCCTCGGCAAAAAGTGGACCACTGTTTGGGGGGTTTAGTAGGAAAAAAACACCCGTATTTCAACCAAAAAGTTAAAGTCTAAAGATCCGTTGCCCAATAGCAGCCAAGTCGAAATCCTTTTGATGGATCGATCGAGTCCAAAGGGCCCGAAATACATCCCATGGGGGAGGGAGGGCAAACAAAAAGCAGATCCCAAGTGCAAGGCCTGACTCAGTTGCCCATTCGGGACCCAGATATACAAAGCTCAAAAGGTCGGCGCCTTGGGCAACTGAGCTTTTTGGTAGGTAACCCAGCTGTCCGCTTTGCCATTTCCTTGTTGGGTTTTGAATGGTGGCAAGCCCTTGGGTGCCTACTGTACAGATCCGGAAAGGTACGGAAAGGTAACCACGCGTTTGTAATTACCATCGAAATGGCCTTTGCAAAACGTATTAAGTCCAGGAACTCAGTGCGTCCGGGGTTGAACAGTTTGGTTGGGCTACCAGGGGCGAACCGAACAGGCAAAGTCATAGGCTGCTTCCCGCAGAACAGTCCTGGCGGGTGTCGAAAATCAGCCTGACATGTATGGGCTTGTCCCCACATCCCACAGAGCTTCAAAACGGCGCTGGGTAGCTTTGCTCTAGCGATGTGCAAAAAGGCCCGAAATACGCAATGGGTATGACTTCCTCGGTTGATTGGGTTCAAAAACACCCTTAACTTTTTGGTTTACTACTAAAAGCTCTTCCCAGAAACAAGTTCAGGAACTCAGAGATCAGGGGTGTGCAGTAGTGGAAACCCCTAACCACTACCGGAGGTTTAATGGGATGTTCAACCACTACATAGCCACTGTAGAAAGGGTATATACCCCAATTTGCCCTGGGGTATATAGATGGTTTGGGGGTACTGGATTCCATCTTTCAATCACCACATTGATCTAAGGGTTCTTGTAGTACACCCTTGGGAAGTGGCCAAAATTGGTCAAAATAACATGATTTTACCCCGGAGATATGCCTAAATGGGGTCATTTCCTAGTGGGCGTAATCCAAAAACCCTTAGAATTGACCACTGCGTAGCCACTGTAGAAAGGGTATATATTGGTAGTGGTTTGGGGGTACTGGATTCCATCTTGGAATCACCGCAGTCAGAGAAACTCCTTTCCCCCAAGCTATGGCAATGCCACCTGAACCATTTCCAGAATCTTCCAGCCTGGGTCAGCAGACTCTCAGCGCCTGGTGGCACATTGATGTCTAAGCCTCAGTCCCACACGAAACCCGACTGGGCCGCCTGCAGATCCCCTGCTAAAAGTGACTAACTTTTAGTGGGAAATATGGAAAGCCCTGCTAAAACTTTAACTTTTAGTGGGTTAAATGGAAAGCACCACGAAACACTAAAAGGCTAAAAAGCTAAGGGGATGGCTGGGAGCCAGCAAGCTGACTGGGGGTCCTGGTTTGGAGCATTTTGTCCGAGCGACACCTCCAGCAATAAAATAGCAAATTGGGCACCGCTTGGTGTGGGGGGCTGAGTTGCCCCCATTTACTTTTGTGGAAATGCAAAGGGACTTGGTCTTCCGGAGTTCCCGATCCATTTTCTTTTTTGGATCCTCCCAAAAAGGGTACAAGGGCACCACTGGGAAACCCGGCTAAACCCGATTCGAAAACCAAGGAATCCTCTCAACTTCCCACATCCCAGCGATCAATTCGCCACTTGGGGGCTGATCAATACTCCTAGCCCCCAAATGACCATGGGCAACTTTTCTCATGTGGGAAATATCATCTCTTATTGGCGGTCCTCCAACCATCGGTCATCTCATGTTCATTGGACCTTTTGATCAACCCCCCATGTATAAATATCTATTAAAATATATGTTCTCTCTTTCCATGTTCTACTAGTTGAATCGTTTTGTTCATTTGCTTTGTCGGCTTCTTCGGCTTTGCTTCTTTACCCCCCTCCCTGAGCTCGCCTCAGACCCCCCCGCCCCACTTCTCCGAAGCGACGTCTCCGCGCGCCGCGCGAGCCGAGCGGCTGGCCAGGAACTGCGTGAAGCGCTCCCCGGTGCGGCCCGTGGCGATGCCTGCCTGCACGAAGAGCACCTCACCGCGTCTCGCGCGTCTCCCCGCGGGGGGTCTTCGCGCGGCTTTTGCGGCGCGAAAAAGCCCCGGCGGACAAGCTCCTCCCGTTGTCTTTTGTTTGTTTTCCCTGTTTTGGCTCTGTGTTTTGTGTTTTTCTTTTTTTGGTGGGGAATGAAATACTTTCTGAACCCTTCCTCTAAAAGATGCACTGGTAGAAAACCCAAATTTGTGTTTGGTGTGGGGAAATGAAGCTGGGAAAGGGTTTGGATGCGGCGAATAGGTGGATCCACCAACCTGTAGGATACTAAAAGAGTACTAAAAAAGAACCTGCACAAGTGGAATCCACAACAAGCGCATCCAACCTGTTATCTGGAATGGAGCATTGTTTGCAGCCTCCCTCTAAAAAAGATGCACTGTGAGAAATCCCAAGTTTGGGGTGTTGGGAATGATGGTTGGGGCCCAAAGCGAACCAACAAACAAGTTCAGCTTCCGTTTGAAACCATACGTATTCCAGTAGTGAAAACTAGTCCCATCAAAAGCAAAAAGCGGAAATACAACATATTTATTTCAGCAAACGGAAGGAAATCAAAGCTACCATTTTTTAACCCCCCCCCTGGGGGGAAACAAACAAAAAAAACAGTTGTCTTCCCAGGGTCCCATGTTAGAAAAAGATAGCAAAGCAACTGAAGTTGGAGTAAGCATGCTTGGTTCAGCTTCTATCTTTCTTGCTCTTGATTTTCTGGCCTGAGATTTGGTTTTGGCGCTGTTTCTGCATGGTGGTTCTTTGCTGGTTGGTCGGTTGCTTGGTCGGCTGGTTGGCTGGTCCTTTGGCCGCTTACCGCGGGAATGTTAAGCTTGGGGTCCCGGTGTCCCCCTTTCGTGGTTGGATGCAGACCACTTTTGGAGGGAACACACCCCAAATACCAGGGATCCTTACATTATACACCTGAACATTGCCTTGTAAATGGTGGTTTCCCTTTATTTTGGTGGAAAAAGCCGTGTTTCAAATGGTTGCAAAATGTATCTTTTAAGGAGCCCTGAATACTGGGACGGGTTTGTTTAATCCTGGGTCAACATTTGGCATCGGTTTTTCCCAGGTTCTGGACGTTACTCTGGGGAGTAAGCGGTTGACCTTCAGCCAAAGCGCAAAGGCCATATTATGAATCCTGGTCAAAATTAAAGCGAAGGCACGTAGTCTGCCGCCACGAGGGTGAAAAAGACCACCAGCAACAGAAGGATCAGCACTGGGGGGGCGCAAAGCGGGAACATCAGCATGATCGCCACCTCGGGATTTTTGTCTGACTGCATCCCCCCTACCTTAAGGGGGAGGGGTGGGGGGTCCCACAATTCCATTTCAGTCTTGCGTACAAAAGGGAAAATGGAACCTCTTCCCTAAGGGAAAATGGGTTACCCTAAATGGAGATCTCCAGGGGTCACACCCCCCTCCCCCAATTCCATTTTGAAGGTGGGGATCCGGCTGCGACGTGCTGCCTGGCTCGATCCCCAGCTGCGGTCTGTTTTGTTTCCATGGCTTTTCTTGACCCCAAAAACCAGCAACGGTGACTAGGAAGAAAGCAGCAACTTGGCTATCTAGGTGTTTTATTGAGAAACCGCAAAATCAAAGGTTGATTAACTTACTGGTGGCTCCCATTGAAACAATTGCCACTTTTCGAGGTGCCCAAACAGGCCCTTTTGATGGACCCCGTTGATTGGGCCCTCCAATCAAAGGGCACGAGATGGGGGCCTGGCTTGAAAACGGGAAGTTCGAAAGGGCGCTAATGACAACAAAGTTCAACAAAGTTTCAGAGTCATTTTTGAACAGGGCAAAAACAAGTTGAAGAAAAAACGGGTTACCAAGAACGTACCGGTTGCTACACGCATCGAGCATCATGGAGCAAGAGCGAAGGACCCTCCTTCGACCTTTTACGTTGCCCAATGACCCTCGAGGATTTCTTTCTGTTGGCCACTCACTCAGTTTCCCTTTTGAAAAACCCGGAAATAACAGGCGATCATCTTTTGGGGCCACCCAAAATGGGGAAACCAAACAGGGGAAAGTAAAAGTACTTTGTCAAAAGGTCGATTCGCTTTGGGCAAGTGAGCTGAAAAGGGTGCCATCTCAACCCCCAGGGCGCAGGGCAATCCCCAATGCAAGCCGAGGTATGGGCTTGCGAAAAACTGACTGTTATTTTAATTGGCAGACCCCCAGTAAAAATGAGAACAGAGCCCCCCCCCCAAAAAAAAACTGCTCCAAGCAGCAGTGAAGCTACTGTATGTTAAGTGAGTGCGGAATTACCTCCAATAAAACCAGATGATCTATGAGCTTGGGAAACGGATCCAATGGTATTCGAATTCACCATGGGCCAGGTCTGAACCACCGCCTGGAGCGGTGCTGGTTGCGCATGTGTGGCTAAAATGGCCGTAGGGTGGTTTTTGGTCTTTTCGCTGCGGGCACCCAACAAGTTGCTTGCCTTTGTTTTTGTTTTGGTCACTATGCTTCGGTTTAAACGGGAAACACATTCATATAATATGTATATGTATTTATTGCTTAAAAGTGAAACGCATTCATATGTGAACCCCTCCATTTGCTTAAGTCCCCTGGACAAATATATAAAAAAAAAAATGCAGTAGCGATGGATTCCCTTTAAAACCAGCCGGGGAAAACAAAACACATATATTCTTAACCAACTGGAGGGAACATCAGGCTGCCCCCCCCCCCCACACGTCCCACGGAGTTTTCTCCCGCGGACTGCGCCGGGCCGCCGAGAGGACGAGAGCCCCGCCCAGGCCCAGGCCCAGGACCAGGCCCAAGTTGTCCGCCACGGCGTTGCCGAAGGTGTACGCCGGGCTGGTCACGGAGGCCAGCCTCTGCTGGGGGGGTTTTGGGGGGGGCTCCAAGGACCCCTGGGCTTAGAGCTTTACTTGCCTAGGTTCTCCAGATTTGAGAGGATAGAATAAGGGTACCAACTTGTTTCTGTTTATTTTAGTAGGGGAACCCTCCCCCAAGAAAGGGGAGAGAAGGGCACCAATGGCCCATTGGTTGCTCCAAGGTCTGGGCTTAGAGCTTTACTTTCGCCATAGTTGATGGGGTACTTGGTATTGTTGTATGTGATGTTGGCTCATTGGATCCTGGGATTGGATTTGATGTGGGAGCTTCTTATTTGATGCTCCTCTGAGCCTGGAATCCACATCAACACAGAAAGAGGAAGGCCCCCCCACCCCCAGCACAAGGTTTGATAGCCATTTTGTATCTTTGATGGAAAGGCAATTTGTTTTCAATTGGTCAAACCGGGCCGATTCAATCGCAACAGGACACACACACTGCCAAATGCACAACACAACTCAAACTTGCAAGAACCAAAGTGAGCACGTGTGTAACATGTTGTTCCAGCAAAGCTGGAACAAGACGTGAAAGGTGTAATCAACAAGCTAAAATAGGCGCACAATTGTGATTTAAAAGCAAGCAGGTAAGGCCTAGAAAGGAGTTTTAAAAAAAGGGGGCTGGCTACACACGTCTGTTGTCGACTCACTTGCTCAAAGGACCTAGAAATAAAAGGTGATCAACCTTTGGGGTCATGACTAAAAATGGACCCAAATGGGAAAACAAAAAATATCGAAAGGCCGATTCGCTTTCAAGTGAGCTTTTGACCGTGGGAACATGGGGAACTGAGCGCGTCCTCTCATGTCTTTTTGCCCAAGGGATGCACAAATCTGGAAATCTTCACCGAAACCTGAAATGAGTCGCACCTCCAACTCCTCGAAGCCGCTTCACCCCTGCTCCACTTCTCACTTCCGATCGAGACTGAAGTCCGAAACGGAACTCGGGAAGGGAGTGTTTTTGAAGACCCCTTGGCTTCCATCTGCTTTTTCGCCCAGAAACATGAGAACATATTTCCGGTAGTGGAATGGATTCCGATTCAAAAACAACAGGGGAATATAACAAATCCCAATCAATCCATGTAATTATGCCAAATGCGTCCACCTGCCTACATGGATGATCTGGGAATATTCACTTCAGCAACTGGAAGTTCATTAAACATATGTGTATATATATATATATATATATATATAACCAGTATAATTTATATACATATATAATATAAACAATAACAGCACATGAAACCACACATGGGTTGGTCAAAATAGGGTGGCTCCCCAAATTGGCCTCGGTTTTCTCTTTGGGTTTCAACTTTAAAAGTACTTAAAAAGATGGGCCAAGGTTTAGCTCAAAAAAAATGCGGTCAACACTAACCCCGAAAGGTGGGTTTGGGATGGATTTGAAGCCCTGGCAAACCACGCCTAACCAAGACTTTTGAGCCATACAAAAACACCCGGGTTTCCCTTCGGAAGTTTTCTCACCGAAAACATCGCCGAGCCGCAGCAGTCTACTTTAGGGGAACCCTCCCCCAAAAAAGTTGGTGACACAGGGCACCTAGCTGGGGAAGCTAGGACGGGCAAAATCGCACACCATCCCCTATGGCTTCCTTCGAGTTAGACTCCCCCATGGTTTCCTGAAAAGCCTAAAAACCGACGAGAAAACGTCGCCGAGCCGCAGCAAGTCGGGCGCACACCACCCCCCCGCCCAAAAAAAACAAAAAAACACGCCCACAATTTTCCCCTGCCGATCCCTCCGGAAGAGTTCTCCCCGAAAACGTCGGTCGCCGAGCCGCAGCAGGTTGGGCAGGCCCTCGTCCAGCGGCAGCACCGAGACCTCCGCCTGGCGCTTCACCCGCTGCGCGCAGCCCGCCGCCGCGCCCGACGAAGCCGCCGTGGCCGCCATGGAGGTTCTCGCCTGGAGCGCGCGGACGGACGCTCGAGCTCCGGGGCACGTGTGATTCGGGGAAGGGAAGGCCGGGGGGGGGGGGAGGTGTCAAAAGGGTGGGGTACAAAAACAATCTGGCAAAATGGAATTGGTTTTTGGGTCTTTTTGGGACATGTCCGGTAGACTTTCCTGCAAACAAGTGTCCTCTTTTGAGGGTACCCTTTTGGGGTTGGTTTGGAAGGAGACAAGTCCAAATACCACATTCCCCTGTTTGCGGGTGTCTTGACTTCAATGTGAGTTGTTACAGGTTCTTGATTCACATACGTGGCCGGGGAATTAGCTGAGTGTCAACACCCGCAACTCCACTTAAACTCCGGCATTGTTTTACTAAAGGGACAACTTGCAGTACCGAGGACATGTCGTCCGTGAATGGAGACATGTCATTTGAGCTTGCACATATGTAAGACACCAATGCATAAACACACCAAATCCTTACATAACACACAATTATCGCCAGCATCTCACACTCGTCAAATGATTATCGTGTCTTCTCCATGTTTTATTTCCTCAAAGGGTGGCTTAAACTTGCTAGTTCTCCGCTGGGAAGTTCTCCGCTGGAAATGAGCTGGAATGACTTGGGGGTTCCATTGTTCGGGAATCCCCGAAACGCTACATTCAACCAATTCAAAACCCGGAATTTTTGAAATTCATTCCCTACCTATCGACCAGCAAGAAAACAAAAACATGCATCCAAGTGCACCAGCTCTAAACGATGCCTCTTGGACCCCCAAAAAAAAAAACACAACTCGTCCCTGGGAAAAGAGCACACCACTTGGGTGTTCATTTGCAACCAGGTGAACTGCACTTGGACTGATAAGAAGGTTATAACTCAGGTTGCCAACAACTTACCTGGCCGAACATGAGGTTTTGCCAAGACCAACCCAGCTGTTCATGGAAAAAGGCTTCGCCCCTTGGGGGAAAGCCATCACATTCTTGATGGGGCAGACAAACTCCAAACGTTTTTGAGTGCCACCAACATCTAGGTCCTCCAGTGGAGAGGTCGAAATAAGGGTACCCTTTTTGCTGTAGTCTATTTGAGTAGGGGAACCCTCCCTACAAAAAAAGGTAAAAGGGCACTACTGGGGGACCTAGTTTAGCAAATTGACGCTTTGTGGGGCCCGAATCCGTTGTTTGAAAGCATATTTCTTGGCGACAAGCGCTTGTTTACTCGAAGTGCACAGTGAAGAAACAACACATTTTGAGAAAAACGCTGAGAACACAATTTCCCGAAAGAAAAAGAACACGCCTCTGCATTTTACCATCCAAATCTGACCCATCCTTTCGCTAACAAGACTCGATCAAAGCCAACTCGTGCCTGGATCAAGGCTTCGTCCGCGCCTCCACCGCGCCAACCGTCCTGCGGTTTACAGCAAAACCATCCTGTGGCTGGCTGCGAAATCCTTCATCGCACCGGCGAATCGATCATTTCAGGATATTTCAGGGTTTCTTCGGTGGTGCACCACTCTAAATCCATGGTTGAAACCACACCGTTTCTTGGTATTTGTAGGTGAATCATCCTTTGTTCTTTCAGGGTTTCTTAGGTGGTGCTATGGTATTTGGGAAAAAGTGCAAACCTCCATTTGCGGATGTGTTCCTGGGGAAAAATAAACGAATATTTCCGGTAGTGATAGATTCCCTTTGAAATCAACAAGGGAGAACAACACATGTTATTTCATCTTTTCAGCAAATGGAAGGTAACCAAAGTCTGCTTCTTTGCGATGGGCAGAACCAAAAAAAACATGACGTCAAAGGACAAACATGAAACGACTCTAGCGCCAAGGGGTGCAATCCTGTATGTTGGACATTCGTACCTTGTCGGGATAGTCTTCACAGAAACTTGTCGGTGTAACGATGTTCTTTGTCGTTGTAACATGTTCTTTGTCGTGGTTGCAACCCTCTCTAGGCAAATCCAGCTTTCCGCGGCCAAACAAAACCTGAAATGATTAAAACACGAATCCCTTCCCGGTTAGGCAGCCCACGTGTCTGCCTTTCTTCAGTGGGACGGGGGTGGGGTTGAAGTCATCAATTCCATCTTCCAAGTCTTACCCCAACATGAAAAATGGAAGACCATCCGGTCCCTTCTCTGCTTGCAGCCACCCCCTTTCCCCCTCCCCCAATTCCATGTTTAAGTCTCACTTCCTGAGTGGATCTGCCAAAAACAACCAAACATGCGATTTGCCACTGGAATGGTTTTCTCAAAAAGCTTAAAGTCCAGAAAATGATAACGTCCCTGCAAATACCAACCAACAATGGTTTCAAAGTGGCGCGATTTATGGATTTCGTCCATCCACAGTATGATGGGGTTCCCGCAGGTCTCACGCTAGGGATAAGCCCCGAGTGATCCCACAACCCTGCTCAAAACAGATTCCTTTGAACCCACCAAACAAGGCTGGAATTAGAACCCCAGCAAACAAAATCTTGTTTGCCTGGTTAGTGGAAAGCAAAGGGAACCCCCAAAAAGCACAAAAAAGCAAAAAGGGAAGCTACTTCTGGGGAAGACACGGGGGTAGCGAAGCTTCGACTCAAGACCTGGAGCACCTCCCCCACCTACCGCACTTGTCTCGACTCGACTCCTGGGTCCACGGGCTGTGGGAAATGGAGTCTACCCTTGATGACTTGGGCGCCGGGAATATTGATCAACTCGCCATATGAGTCCTAATCAAACCCTATCAGAAATGTTCTACCCAGAACCATGCTTCAAGAATGAAGGAGGGTATCCGTATCTATTTGTGGCAAGGGGATTTTCAGTTGCTAGCCTTCTACTCGAATCCGTTTTGAGGCCGCGGCCTAGGGGATCCCCACCTAGCGCACGCAGCCCTCGGACTCCTGAATGGAGGCGTCCGGCGGCTCCAGCAGCCAGAACTTGTCCTCGGTTGCTTTCTGCGAAGCCCTGCTAAAAGTTTTCAACCTTTAGTGGTTTGATGCAAAACCCTAAAAAGTTCTAGTTTAACTTTTAGTGGTTTAGTAGTGTAATTGTTCGTCGATTTTTTGGTGGTTTCGATGTTTAGTTGGCAGCCAGTTAAAGTGCAAAATGAGTTTTCCAAGCAAAAGTTGAAGTTAATGAGCTTGGCAAAAAGTTTGCTTGGAAGTTATAAGGTAAAAGTGCAAAACGCATTAACATTCAAGCAAACTGCGCCAAAGTCTCGGTGCCGTCCCGCGCCAGGCCGCAGACCTGCTGCGGTGCAGTGGGTGCGACCCCAGCCGCCGGTGGGCTGCAGGCGGGGGAGGCGCAAAGGGCCGTGGTGCCTGGGCTGCCGTGCGCTGCCGGGTTCTGAGCTCAGGCACCCACTGGAACTCGGTTACAAAATCTGCTTCCCAGCGAAGCTGAGGGTAAACAGGTTCTTGGAAGGAAACAATACAAACCTCGGTTGCTTTCTGCGAAGCCCTGCTAAGAGTTCAACTTTTAGTGGTTTAATTCGGAAAACCCATTAGTCTAAAAGCTCAACTTTTAGTGGTTTAATTCGGAAAACCCATTAGTTGGCAAAGAGTTAAAGTCCTAACATCCACACAAAATTCAACAAAGCGAAGGTGCGGGTACTGCCATACAAGCTTCCAGCTTGTGGAGCCTCCCTAAGGTTGTTGGCCCTGTTACCCAGGCAGCCCTTGACATGGGTATTTGAGTTTGAGGGAAACCCTTCAAACAAACGGGAGGACATCCTCACTGGAGGTCTGGGTAGTATTGACCCCCAAAGCTAAGCCTATGTTTTATTCATACGTAAGGGGTGTCCCCTTGTAGTCGGACATGAAAACTAGTGGAGGGAGCACCCCCTATTTATGGGACGGGTTCTACATGGGACGGGTTCTACTTAGATCTGGGGCCAAGATGAGCTACCCCATCCCCATGGCACAATGAGTTTTACCAGGGACCCATTTCCCTAAACACGCCTTCAGGCTGGCGGATTCGAACCCCGGGGGATGGAGCGTGCAGCCGAGGCGCCGGAATCCACGGGCTGTTGGTACGGCACGCAGCGTTGAAACACCGGGAAGGAGGGCTGCAGCACAAGCCAGCTGGCTGCCCGAGCGGAAGTGCCAGAGTCTGGCAGACGTTCCGGGGAGTGGAAAAGGCGGGCATTTTGGTGCCAAAACAACCGGGTCCACAAAGGGAAGTGGAGGAAACCCTACCAACTGGTTTGAAACATGGCCAGCCCGGTGGAGTGGAAAAGGCGGGCCATCTTTGGTCAAAAACCAACCCGGTCAATGGTGGTGTCCACTCAAAGTGCCACTTTTGGAGGATCCAACAAGGGAAATGGCTCGGAAGCCCATTTCCAATTGGTTTGAAACATGACCCGCCCGGTGTTTCGACCATCTCCTTTTGGCTTCCAGGTGACCAACGGAAACTTGTTGAACCCCATTTCGCCAGCCTGGCACCGACTGGCCGACCTTCGGGCAGGAATCCACGCAGACGCCGTAGTGGCGCCTGCGAGCGCAGGTCCCCATGAAAATGGGAGCCTAGTCGAGGGGGCCGTTTCCGTTCAACAGGTTCCAGCAACAGAAACCCGTGTACCTTGAATCTAGGGGCAAGGTCCGAACAGGGCCCTGACTTGAAATCTGCCCAAGTCCCCTTCTGCGAGTCACGATGGCACTGAGCCCGCAACTTGCAACGACTCTGAGTACCACGCTGAAACCCGTGTTTTCTTTAGAGTCGCTTTAGAGGGTGCGATTCGGAGTGATTTTGCAGACATGCTCCATGCAAAACAACATGACTCACATCTAAAGTGGAAGGCACCGAAGCCTCTTACCGTTGCTCAACGCAAATTCGAGAACCCCTCTGCAATGTGACCACTTGGGACCAAAAGGGACGTAGAAGCGCAACTTCTGGGCCTCCCTTCAGAGATCGAAGTCAGTTTCCCCAAAAGTGGGGCCCTCGTTCAATTGGCTTTGAAAGGGGGGCAGCTCACAACGAGCTGATGGCTTCTAGGAATGTAGGGACGGTTGTGAAGGGGCTCTATGAAAAAGCTTCGGGGATTGCAGTTGTGGTTAAGGGGGAACCCGAAAATGCACCACAAGGAGGTGGCAAAACTGCTCACTCGATCAAAGAGCCTTGAAATATCAAAGGTTTAACCTTTGGGAACCTTGCCCACACCCGCGGATCAAACCAGGAAAACCCGAAGGTGACAAAATAGGTCGATGCGCTTTGGGCAAGTGAGACTGGCTCAATTGGGATCACGGCATTCTTATTTTTTTGGGGGGGATTCAACAGAGGTCGCGAGCTTGGGGGCTTTTGCTCCCCAAACTTTTGGGGTCCTGGAGTCAGAAACTGGGCTCGACTCAGAACCTATGTGTCGAGTGACTGCTCTATCCGAAACGCCGGGAAGAAGAAACTGCGCTGTCCAACCTGCACCGCCTGCCAAAAGTACATGACTTGTGGGTGAAACGGACACCCAAGCACCAAACCACCAAAACTCGGTTGCTTTCTGCGAAGCCCTGCTAAAAGTTTTTAACTTTTAGCGGTTTAGTTCGGAAAACCCATTAGATCAAAAAATTATTCAGTCCTAACAGCCCTTCCTGGAGTCTCCTTCTGACCCTTTAAAAATGGTGGGTCCTTACCCAACATGAAGGGGTGACCCCTGTTTCTCGGGGTCAGCAGGAGACTCCCACGGTGGGCAAAACCCCAGGAACCGGATCGGCGCAAGCTTCGCCTTTCGAATCCCTCGCTTCAGGCGAGGCCATTCCGAGTAACTCGGTGCGGGAACGAGATGGAACGAGCCTCCGCACGCCTCAACTCTCCCTGGTTTCCTACAGGATCCGATTCAAACGGTCGACTTCGAATTTGCCCAGGTGGTATCCCCAGCCCCGGACCTGGAACCCAAGCTCTGAAAGCAAACCCACGCCTCGCCTCTCCGGGCATGTGGCGTTCAGCTGGGAAACAAAATTGATTGAAACTCCCAGCTGAGAACCAGCAAGCTGAAAAAACAAGCTGAACCACCGGACAATTCCCTACAGAGACATGTCCTACTGAGAACCAGCAAGCTAGCAAACCAGTCAAAACAAGTATTTGCAACCCACTGGGTGTCTGGTTCCTGCAACTGGCGCCAGGTGTGGGTCAAGAATAGGTACCCAAAATGGCTTGCCCTGGCAAATGGAAACATGGCCATATCCTGGTGGTTTTATTTTGACCCAGAGGGCCCAAGAACACCGCGCCTCAAGGTAGGGTCCTTCTTGAAGTCAGTCTCCAGGTCTGGGTAGAAGGCCTAAGTGCGGACGTTTTGCTCGCTGACTTCAAGGTCACCCGGCTGAACGGGGAAACCCACAGGGAAGACCGGCCACTGAGCTCACGGGATGTGTTGTCAAATGGCAAATGTGAAGGGACACATGGCCCCAAAACGAGAAATTCGCTTGGTCTGCAAAATCATCTCAACCCCGGACTCGCCAACCTGCAGATATTTCCTCTGAAATGGGGCTCCCTCTCAATCAACCAGGGGCGTATTCAAGATCAAGGAAACCACACACACACACATGGCGGTGCACATTTAACCTATCAGTGTTAGTGCCTTTGTTATCACAGAAAGTCGCCCAAAAGCCATCACTTCCGAGCGAGTGGAGTAGCTAAAGCACGTAACCAAACTTCTGGTTTATCACTAAAACGGTCTTCCCAAGCAGCAAAAAATCAAGGACGATACCAGTTAAGTTGAATAAGGTTGATCGAACATGTACTGTCGGCCATTCATGCCAAATCATATTTCCACCCGGCAGGAGCCCATGTGAGGGCGTATCATTAGGGAAGCCCCGTTTTGGTTGGCAAAAGCGGGAAACCAAAAGGACAACCGAAGCCATTTCCGGGATCCCCTGATTCTCAGGCAAGCCATTTTATCACAACCATTCAGCTGCCCGTAGCCCAAACCGACACATAACAGGTGTTTTCACCAGTGAGGGGCCACTAAACATGGTAGAACCCAACAATGGGAGACCAAATGGTCGATTGATCCGGTTGCGATTCGCTTTGGTTGCGAGGAGAATGTCCTTCCAATTCTGAAGGGCTGTATCGCCCATTAAACCCCGAAGGTAGTGGTTTTGAGGGGTTGTGGAAACCATCTTAGAATGAAACCGCACCTCCATTCGCTGAAATCCCCCTGCAAAAATGAGCAAATATGTCCAGTAGTGAAAGCAATCCCCTCTAAAAACCAACAGGGGAAGGAGACTGAACAAACCTCTAAAAACCAAAAGATAGAAACAAACATCATGTCAGCAACTCACCTCCGTGGCTTGGCCAAAGAAAGTCTGAACTTCATATTTACCATCATGGCCCAACCCCCAAAAAGATCCAGTCCAGAAGCTTTGGAAGCGAATCCAAAACTGAACATTTTTTTTTAAAGAGAAAACACGTGTCCGCAAATGGAAGCAGAGTGAAACAGGGATCCTTACAAGAAAACACCTGAACATTGCAACTTGTAAATGGTGGTTTCCAACTTTAGTTTGGTGTTGAAAAAGCCATGTCTCAAATGGGCACAATGTATCTCTTAAGGAGCCCTGTGAAACCACATGCCTTTTCGGCTTGCCAGGCGGCGTATGGTCTGCTGGCCTGGCTGCCGAGGCCGCACAAGTCCCCCGCGTGGTCGCGGCCGTGGTCTATGAGCCTAGCGATGTGTCGGGACGTCGATTTCCACCCGGCGCGTCTTCAAAGGGCTTCGGTGATACAACCCAAAAGAGGGTTCCCAAAGACGAACCCCCCATATCAAGGGGGGGATTCCCTTGCATCACAGAATCCCATAACCCTGATTCAAAGGGTTGGGTTGCAGGAAATTCTACAGCAAAATAGCGCATATTTAGGGTGCTTTGGAGCAATGCCCTGTAGATTTGCCCTATGACCCAACCCTTTGATTCATTGAACCCTAAGCTAAACTTTTAGTGGGGTATATGGGTGGGTGTTTTTTTAGGGTTTCCTTTTGGGGGTTGGTCTAAACGGAAACCAGAAGGAACACCCTCCATTTTTGTTGGTGGGGTCACCTCAACAAAGACACACCCAAATGCGATAAACTCCAAAAGGCATGCCTAAGGAACCCTATGGCTGAAGAAGAAGTTGCAGAAAACTTTTGGATTTGCTCACTTCTGATTGGCCGAAACCTTGGTTGACGTTGGAAGGGGAGCAACAATTTATTTTAAGCAATTAAGTGGGGATTTCCCACTAAACCACAATAAGCAAAAATGCAACATGTTTCCCAACGACAACCATGTTTTGGGGGGTGGTGGTCCAAGGAAAAGGTGCAGAACTGCAGAACGATGTAGGGGTGTCCCCAGAAATGGGGCAATGGCGCGGTCCAGATAGGAAATAGTACCCTACCGTACACTAACTTGGACAAACCAACAAGCGGGGATAGGGAGGGAGCGGGATGGGGGGATTCCCTTGGCGCCATGTCCCATATCAACTTAGTCAAGGTGCATCAAACGGGGGAATCCTCCCGTTGGTTTCCCTGACTCACATGGAACCTGACTTTTTGGGGTCCTGGAAGACCAAGTTCCTTTAAATGAGACCTGGCGGGTCCATGTTAGTGGACAGGCAAGCAGGTTGTAAACACTTGAGTCACAATCAAAACCCGGTACTAAAATGCTTGGGATTGTCCCCTTACTAACCTTCATCTACCCAGGTTTTGATTGTGGCTCACTTGTTCAGTCCCTCAAGTGGGAAACAAAGCGCCAAACACCCGAACAGCACAAGGAGCCGTTGTTCATAGGGCGGTATCGCCTTGCCACTTCCTGACCTGATTGGCCAAGCAAAGTCTAGACTCTTTGTTTGGTCTTCCCCAAAAGTCTCAAGTCTGAGAACTCAGGGAGCAAGGCAAAAAGGTGGTTGGGCCAATCTGATGTGAGCTTCCTTTTTGGTAGCGTGATGCTCAGTGTTTTAGAGACTCCATAAGGGACTTCCGGGTTACCTGACAGGACAAGGATGCCAATTTCCCTCGGCCTGAAACTGCAGCACAAATTCTCGCCTGAGGTCGCCCTTCTCGCCGAGATAGTCCACCAGCACCGCGGTACAGGCTAAGACCGCCTGAGCCCAAAACAACTAAACGAGCTGATTAATCTCCATTTGCTCAAGTCCCCTGCAAAGAAGATGGAAACACCAAGTAGTGGTAGATTCCCTTTAAAACCAACAGGGGGAATTAACACATGTTCGTAGGCAAATGTCGAACACGAGTTGCGTTACTTCCATTTGCTTAAGTGGAACAAAAAAAACGTGTCCGGTAGTGATAGACTGCCTTTTCAACCAACAGGGGTAACAGAAAAAAAAAATAATTAAATGGAAGTTTAAAGGCTTACAAGAACCTAAATAATTCGGCTACTTGAAAGCCACATAGCTTCATGATTCTGGGAGTTAAACTACTGGTAAAGACTGAGGCCCTATATTCAATACTGATAATGGCGAAGGCGAACAGTCCAAACAGTTGCCAACAACATAGTTGGTCGCCATTTTAGGAAGAAAAACACGCTTAAGTGAGTCTGGCCTAAATAGAATCATGGGGGAGGTGCCTTAAAACCAAAGGAAGCCAGAACCATGTGAAAATAATGTGTGGATTCACCTATTGCCAAGGGTTTGTGAAGGCAACACACGACACATGAGGAATACATTTTGCACAGGTCGCTGACAAAACAATGGATCGATCTCCAGGCCGACTGGTTTTCTCTTCCTGAGCCATCGATCGGAAAAGCCATTTGGGTGTCTTTTTGTTGAGGGTGCCCTCTTGGGGTTCATGCAGCTGCAAACCAAAAGGAAACACCCCTTTGTGGAGGGTTCCCCGATTTTGAGACAACTTAGTTTGTGTGCGTCTCAAAATAGGGGAAGCTCCAAGATGTTGGTTTTCTGCTTGAGTTCCCTTTGAACAAACCCCAAAAGGGTGCCCGAAGGGTGCCCTCAAAAAAAGACACGCACGTTCTCACTTGCCCACAAAAAAGGGAAATGGTGTGATCACCTGAGTCACAATCAAAACCTGGTACAAAAATGGTGAACCCAGAACTATGTAAAGAATTAGAAAGACGGAATTCCGCAACTATTTCCGGCTGGGACTGCCCCTTACTAACCTTCATCTAGCCAGGTTTTGATTGTGGCTCACCTGTTGGAACCAAAAGACTCAACCCTGCGAAGCCGAAGAAGTGGAAACCAAGGGGCTGAGTCTTCAGGTCGATCCGCTTGGTTGCAACTGAGTTTACTCGTTTACCGCGGTTTGGTGCGTGTGTGCGTTTGGTCTTGCAACATCATCTCTACTCTTTGTTTACGGTAGCGAAAAACTGACTGTGTTTTTTGCAGACCAGAAAAATGAGAACAGAACCAAACACTTAAATAAAAAAAAAGATCCAAGAACAGTGAAGACATGGTCATTGACTGTTCCCTGGCCAACCCAAACAAATGCGCCTTGCTTCGCTCCCCAAAACCCGGCCCCTTCCTACGATCAGCGCCAAGATACCAGGAAGACTAACCCCAAAGACTAACACCCCATCAGGGGGGGGGAGATTCCCGAAGATATTCGCAGTGGTTGGATAAACCCCTTCATGCCGATCTGTCCTCCAGTAGAGGTTAGAATAAGGGTGCCAACTTTTTGCCGTGGGCTATCTTAGGGAGAACTCCCAACCAAAAAAGGGTTCCTTAAAACAAATGCGCCTAGCTGGGGGACCAAGAAAAGCTCCCCGCAACCCGGGGGCCCCCCTACGACTGCCGGGGCGCCAGGAAGAGGATGCAGCAGGGCACATCCGTGCAGCGCCGGTGGAGCCGAGGCCCCGGATTCGTGCGGATGCGCAGGGGCTCCTGGCGCGAAACGCATCCCTACCGAGGAAACACAGGGAACATAGGGATGTCCCTTTGGTAAGCCGATTTGGGTATTGACCCATGGCCAATTCAGCAAATGGAAGACCTACTTCCAGGGTTTCTTCAACAGGGATCCTTACAAGAAAACACCTGAACATTGCAACTTGTAAATGGTGGTTTCCAACTTTGTTTTGGGGTTGAAAAAGCCATCCATGTTTCAAATGGTTGCAAAATGGAGATCTTTTAAGGAGCCCTGGTAAACTAGATGGGTTTCCCTGGCACATGGGGCATGAAGCCAATCTAAACCAATAAAACCCATCTGGTCAAACCAATTGGCCATGGGTCAAAATCCAAGTCTTGTACCCCCAGTGAACATCGTTCTAGAATGGTGGAAACATGGACCAAAACCTGTGTAACCCCTCCTGTTTAATTTTGAGCCACAGCCAAATGGGTGAGCCTATCCCAAAATGGGATCCCATTGGTTTCAACCAGCCCAATGGATTCTTGGGCCGGTCGCTTCCCTCATTCAGTTTCCCCCTCATTGGTGGCTTGGAGCCTGGCTGTTTGGTGGTTTGGGTGAGGGGTTTTCCATGTTTGCCCTCCACAAGAGCCGGGGGTTCAAATCCAAATCCAAACCACCAATCCAAACCACCAACTAAGAGGTACCGGAGAAAACGCTCAAAACAACACAATAGTCCGAGAGCCACGAGAAAAAACAAAACACACGCACACACACACACACAAAAAAACAACAACATGTTTTTCTACTGGCAGCTGTTGTCTTCAGACCCGCCATCAAGCAAAAAAGGTGTTGCTTAAACCCACCCAACAAGGGGCATGCGGGTCTGTGCCCAGATTTAGGAACCGAACACGGCAAAGATTTGTGTGTTGCCCCTGTTGACTGGAACCTACCAAAAGCCCAAAAGGGTACTCACAAAACGATCTTCCCGAAAGTGTCAAGCCTTATGCCACCCTTTCTCCCACATCACACTTGCGGCACTTGCGGGGACTGGAAGATTGATTTCTTCAAGGGACCCCGCTGTCAGGTGCCATGGCTGTTTGTGGGAGGGAGGGTATCTCCGTTTAACTTCCATAAGGAAAAGGTCGCCCTCTGCTGACCCCTAGGGTTCAACCCCCAGACTGGCAAGGTCCCGATTTAGATGCAAGTTTTTAGGTAAACCATTGCACCCATATATATATATATATATATGTCGTGGCCAATGGCCAATGGGAATCAGCCGAAGACCGAAAGGTTATTGAGTATTGAGTGCTGAATAGCCCATGTTAATTTCCCCAGCAGGGAAGCCCACAAAGGATGGGTGATTTCTGATTGAACAAATTGGCGCACAGAAAAAAACATGATACTTGTACTATTTGTATTTGTATGGTGTTAGCTTTATTTTGCCGTGACCAAAACACAAAAAAACAACACGCACATTTCTGGCATTTGGCCGTACTCCCAGCTAAAACCTTCAAGGCAAAAACAATCTGAAGCCAAAAGCAATCTACAAACATTCTGAACAATGCACTTTCGGTAGGTTTTGGGAGCGCAGCTCTATACATATATATATATGTATTTGTATGTATATATATATATATCAAAATGCTGCCCCAGCCTCCCCATGGTCTGATGAAGATCCCAAGCCACAACAGATCTATGGCTCGCCAATCAAAACCAGGTGCTGAAGGGGTCTGTCTACTCAAAATTATGCCCTTCACCATTCTACCCAGGTGTTGACCATGGCTGGATGTAAACTACGTAACAGTCTAGCACTTCAAGAATAACATATACAGAAAAAACAGACACACATATTTATGTGAGCCTTTTTTATTATTATTCTGGGGTACCCTGATAAACCTTTTGGCGCATTGGGTACTGACAAACATATAGAAATATAGATCTTCAGATATCTTCAGATTCTCGTCCAAGTTTAGCCTACCCTTAGCATACAAAACAGAGACCCCAATCGAAAGGCTCGCAAGAAGGAGAGAAGTACCGCCCTTGGTACCCGTTGACCACTAACATGACCTTCCCAAATCACAGGGTCCGGAGTCTTCGGGGTTCCATGCATGTCCCGCAAGAATACCTCACCCCAAGTTTGGCCTTCTGCCATCTCCGCAAAAGGGCGGAGGCTTAGTGGCCTCGATAAGCCACGTGAATCCAAGACCTCCCCAGGCACCCCCTAAAGGATGAGGCGCCTTGGCCAGCCGGGGGCCAACCAGGAAACGAGGAAAGGTCACAAAACATAGCCATCCAATTCAAAACCGATGGCCAGTTGGGTCTGCTTTTTTTTCCCGGTGCTGAACCCTTTTGGGGCCTGATTTAAAGGGAAACCAAAAGGACACCAACCATTTGCTGGGGTCCCTACAAAAAGACACAACCATTTATCACATAAATAAGGCCCCTGCGCAAAAAAGCACTTTGTTTTCAACCCGAAAGGGTTCCCACCACTCCTCGTGCTCGTCGTTGCTGTAGCCACAGCACCCGCAGCAAGTACCCATGCCGAGTAAGTTGCTTTTGAGCACGAGACAAAATATGACCAACTGGCTCGTTTGACGCCCTTTCCAGTAGCAAAACCCAGATTTCCAAGTTGAGATAGTATATAAATTATTGAGGGTTCCGTTAATGGAACGTGTGCGCGTGGTGCTTTTGGTCCATTAGCAAAACTCCTCCAAAGTCCGGCATGGAATTGGTGTCTTCTGTGCTTGCGTGCTGGGCTAGCAGTAGGCTTGACCACGCAAAAGGGTTTCTGACCCCACTTCGGATAGCTTGTCCGTACAAGCTCGAATCAACAATCTCCTGGCCTGCCATCACCTTGCAGCAAGCCGAAATGGCCAAGGACATGGGCAGCTGCATTGGAGCTCCCTTGTTGATTCCAAGGGGAGCTGAATTATCTGCTGAGTGGACTGGCAAAAGGGCTTGGGCCAATGAAATACGGGTGCTTGGGACAGTTGGTTTGCTTTGGGCTTCCTTCTCCAAAACGGATGGCCCATTTTGAGGCAGCCCCATATTGGAATGTCCCCCTGGGCTTAAGAATGTCTTTTTCGACGGCCTCAACCCGCGGGAAAGGAAGGAACAATTGCTGGAGCCAATTTGCATTGAGCCCAGACAAATACGTTTGCCAACTCAACATGGAAACACAGGTCGGGGTCCCCAACCTGCATAGACACCAATGTCATGCACAACTAAGTCCTCCAGTAGAGAGGACTTAAAATAAGGGTACCCTTTCTTCTGTAGTCTATTTTAGTAGGGGAACCCTCCCTCAAAAAAGACTAAAAGGGATATACTGGGGGATCTAGACAAGGTATCCCCTAAAGCTCTACTACTTCTCTGGATCTTCTCCCTTAAGGGTCCCCATCACCAAGGCGCAAAAGACATGCTAACATGGGACTTGGCAGCTCGATGCACGCTTTTGGTCTCCAGGGCAGAATTGTTTGCATTTAGGGCTGGGGTTGTAGGGAAGGGGCAACCTCAC